CGTCATGTGATAGAGGCCAGGATCCGGCTCTTAAATTATAAATCTAAACCTAAGGGGGTGGGGGTAGTCTAATGTCAAGGTTGTGTACCTGCAAAGTAGAGAGGGGCGTGGTTGTTTTCCTAACAGTAACTCTTTAAAAAATTGACCTGTTGCTTATACTTTGTTTGCAATAGCACGCGCCAGTTACTGACGCAGTTGTATCAGTAAAGACGGCGTCAAGTGTGCAGGGCGCTTTGAACGGGGTAAGAGGACACTTTTTTTTTTGTCTCGAGATTTGACGTTTTATTCCGTTGGGGGGGGGGGGGGTAAGGTCACCTTTTTTAGGTCAGCCATTATAAAAAAAAATTTTTAATTAAAAAAAAATCAAAAGGTTTTTTTTTTTTACAAGAAAAATACATAAAACATACACATAAAAAAACTCGAACCCACCCCCCCCCCCCTGCGTACGCGCCTGTATGCAGGTCCCGCGGAACGTTTTTCAAAGTGGAGTATTAACGATCAGGTAGAGCGTAAATTGGCGTGGGGTCCAGGGCATGAGCCTCGGCAGGGGGGGGGGGGGGAAGGGAGCCCCCAGAAGCTCAGAGGTTTTAATTTTTAACTACGGTCAGATGAGCATCCAGGGACCGCCTTAGGGCCCTTGGTGGGGTCTAGGGGGCAGAGCCCCCGGAAGCTCAGGGGTTTAAGGTATTAAATCTCGGTCATATGAGGATCCAGGGGCCCGCCTTAGGGCCCTGGGTGGGGTTCAGGGCGTAGAGCCCCCGGAAGCTCAGGGGTTTTATGTATTTAATAACGGTCAGATGAGCATCCAGGGGCCCGCCTTAGAGCCCTTGGTGAGGTCCAGGGGGCAGAGCCCCTGAAAGCTTGGGGTCTTTAGGTATTTAATTATGGTCAGATGAGCATCCAGGGGCCCGCCTTAGAGCCCTTGGTGGGATCCAGAGAGCTTTTTTTTAAGGTATTAAACTACGGTCAGATGAGCATCCAGGGGGCAGAGCCCCCGGAAGCTCAGGGGTTTTAGGTATTTAATTACGGTCAGATGAGCATCCAGGGGACCGCCTTAGGGCCTTTGGTGGGGTCCGGGTGCAGCGCCCCGGTAAGCTCTGTGGTTTTAGGCATTTGATTACGGTTAGATGATCATTTTTTATACCTTTTTTGTGACATTGGCAGGTCACTTATTTTTTCTCTCCGTCTTTCTTTCTTTTTCTTTTTAACATACTTTTTCAAAAAGCCACTTTGCAGACCATGACAAAAAGGCTTCTAAATAAGCGTATTTTTCGCCCGACTGTTATTTGGGAATTTCTTATTTTCCAACAAACGCCTAAAAATGTATGACTTACAAAAACATGGAGAAAAAATCCCGGAAAATCATGTCATAACAGCAACATTTGTAAGTCACTGGTATCGAATAGGAAATACACCCCCCTCCATCAGTACGCCAGCATTTAGGGGCTCATGTCTTTTCACCCCTCAGGGGCTCATAACTCTCTCGCACAATATGTCTACGATATGCGCGTATCGCTATTATAAAGACCTCAATCGATAAATACCGTATAGGTGGCATGCACAATGTTTATGAAATTAAATTCCTGTGAACTTTCCTTTTCTTTGAATGGAATTGTATATGTGATTTAATTCAGGTTTTTATTATTGTTATGTTCTTTTGGGACAAAAATGCAAACCATGTTTACTCCTTTATTGCTTTTTTTTTTGAAGGGGAGGGGGGGATGCGTTTTGCCCTCCCCCACTTTTTTGGTGGGGGGGGGGGGGGGAGTAAATGCCCCCCTGCCCCCCGTCCCCCACTTCCGGCGTCTATGATGGTTCACTATTATCGTGATTATAGATTAGCACAACCATTGACGGAGACAGCTCAGAGAGAGTATCAGATCCCCATACATGTCACGATCAGGACAGCCGCCTGCAGCTTGTCTACTCCTTGGCAGTGGCTTCACAGACCATCTCTATGTTCCCGCTTGGCTTCTTCTTTGATCGCTTTGGGACTAGATCGTCTAGACATCTGGTCAGGTGAGGTTTATAACATTCTCACATTTTTCATTAATAAAGTTTAAAGAGAAGGTTGAGTTCTGGGAAGAGGTGAAAAATAATTTGTGAGCGTTATCATTCTTATTATGCAAGTGTGGAAGAACATCAGATAAGACATGTTCCCTGAAAAGCATGGCTCTTCAAATGCCTTCATATTCTAAATATGTTATGTAACATCGTAAAACTCGGGGGTAAGATTTTTACGCCACGTGTTCGTGTAGTCCCATATACATCTTTCTGTGTACAGTGTTTGTAACTTTACCAAGACATGGCCAAATTTCTTATCATTTAGATGATTCCAGAACCTTGCAATACACACAAATTCTTATATGCTAGATGATCAACCTTTTCTGGTCGATTCCACACCGTTTCTTTCACAATGCAATCGCATGACCAGAACTCAACTTCATCTTTAAAGATTTTCTTTAATACGTTTTTTTTAAATATAGGAACCTTTCAGCTCACTACGCACTTTCAATCATAAATGGATAAAACAAATGTTTAAACCTTTACATCAGAGAGCATGTATACTTATTTTTGTTTTATTGCATTCCCCCCTTTTGATCATCTTTAGCCTCCTGTTACTGATCGGCTATTTAATGATGGGATTCAGCTCTCCTCTTACCCCCTTACTCCTGTTCCCGGGGACCATTATCTTTACTGTGGCAGGCTCCTTACTCCTCTTCTCGACGATGCAGGTCAGTTTATCGGTTAGGTTTTCGATGTGAAATATTTGGTTTTAATTTCCCCCTTTTCTTCGGTTTCTCCTTTTTTTGTTCTCCGTCTTCTTCTTTTTCTTCTTTTTCTTCTCTTCTTCATCATCATCTACTTTTCTCTATCATCACCATCATCATCATCATCGTCATCGTCTATCATCATCATCGTCGCCAACATTATCACAATCGTCATTAACATTATCATCATTCTAAGACACGTTTGGCTTGCACCCAGTAGATAAAGATCAAAATGTTCGATCTTGAAATTGAAATAAAAAGGCAGATTTTGTTTTTAAAACCAGCGGAATTGAATTTGCCATCAATTCCTTGCCGAGCAGTACGTGACTCTACTACGAAGCCCACCACTTGTCCATGGCACAGTCACGATGAACTGGAAAAAGCTCTCTTGTCTCATTCTGACGTATCTAATATCCATCTGTCCGCCATTGAGACAATAGCTTTGACTTTCAAGAATGTCATCGTCATTCATCACCACCATAACTACATCTTGAGAATGATTTCATACTATTTTTTTTTTAATTTACTTTTTCTAGTCCATTCTTGAAATTATATCATTTGGCTACATGATTGATTTTGCTTTTCCCCAAGAATTTTACGAATATGAAAATACGAAATGTAACCTTTTGCATTAGCTCTTGATTAGATCCGCTAATAACTCATTAGTTAAGGATCTATGAATTACACGCAGGTCGCCCTAACGTGAACCTATACTTTGTAAACAAGATGTATGGTTCTTTTTCTTCTTTATAAACACAGATTGGTAATGTTTTTCAAGGAAGGAAGTCTACTGTCATTTCATTGATGAATGGCATGTATAGTTCATCAACGATTGTCTTTTTGATAGCTAAGGTAAGAAATATTTGTCAGAGAAAATTCTAATTCGCCTTGGCGTAGCTTTGGTCCAGCCGGTGGGAGCGGGGGGGGGGGGGGGGGGGGGGGGGGGTACGAGTATATTTGGGTGACATCGGTCTTTTCAGGTAGCTGAAATAAGAGATAGAAAAACCGTCGAGTGAGGGGATGTATGGTCGTACCATCTTCTTTTTTTGTGTCGTTTTTTCTCCTCTTTTTCTCTCTCTCTCTCTGTCTCTCTGTATCCCTCTCTCTTTCTCTGTCTCTCTTTTTATTTGTTTCTTCTTCTTCTTTTTTCTTTCTTTCCGTATTTGATCCTTTTTGCTATCCTTTTGGAGAAGGGAGAGGGTAATATATTAATAATCATAATAACATTGTTTTGTACAGCGCTTAATACTACGATTCTAAGCACTTGACGTTGTAATTATTATCAACCCGATCATTGGATGCAATTGTTCATTCGCACATGATTAGTGCACACTCTCCGCTCCCCTGGGAATATTCCGGTCAGGCGCCATTTTACACGCGCACACATGTCCTGCCAACCACATTTAAGTTTACATCCTACCTGGTATCCATTTAACACCAGGGTGAAGAGTTTTCAAGTGTAGATTGTTGCTTTGCCAAAAGACATAAGTGCCGCGGCGGGACCCGAATCGCGAACCATGCTAATCCACGGTCTGGTGACGTGTCCACTAGACCACGACACCTCTATATCCGTTCAAGCTTAACATCGTCTCTGTGTGAAATACAAATTAACATAAACCATACACATCAGGAAATGATCTGCCATTGTTGTGAACGATGATTTAAACCCTAGACCAATATCAAACACAAACGAACAAACAATTTAAACTATTAGACAAGGGTCTCAGTTCTGAATGCTTTATCCACTTATGCTGCGCCAACAAAAATAAATGTCAACCTATCAATTTCGAAAAAATCCTATAGAGCCTGTAAAATGATGAACGAAAAGAAATGATTAAGTTATGAAATGGAAAAAGGATTCAACTCCATGACGGCATGATTTTTTTGTTTATTCATCCATTTACAAACATGTACTAGTTCAATGTTGTTAATCTTACGGTAAATCTTTTTAGGAATTACTCGGCCCTCCCTAAATTAGTCGATGACATCATCCCATATTGTCGGGGTTTAAACCTGGACTAAAATTAGTTCACTAATAAAACAAATACCGACCCAATTATCTCAAACACGACCACAAAGTCTTTTGAATGATCAACATAAGGCAATTTCGATATCCTTGTTTATCACTTACTAACACATTATGCAAGCCAATTACAATTCGACCTTGAGTTGATTTCTTGAAAGCCTTTCCGATCGCCTTCTCAATTCAAATCGCACTCCAGGCAGCTTATGAAGCAGGGATGTCCCTCAAAATCTTCTTCTCGATTCTGGCTGGATCCGTGATCCTCCTCAGCATTAACACTTTCATCATCATGCCCGCCAAACACGTTCCCTGGCCCTACCCCGACCACCATCGACTGGTAACCTGCTGCACTACGAGGACCGATCAAGACCAGAAGGGTGTCGCTGGACTCCGCAATGAAGCATACGTTGAGGATCCCGCCGATGATATTGGGTGTTCAGAAGAACCACACGGGGACGGAGTAGGGTTGGACTCAGTTACTGGTAGGTCTAGGTGTTTTGTTTCTCTCCTTTACGTAACTCCTTCCTTTCCTCCTCGGTGATGTTCTTGGTCTTCTTCTTAGACCTCTTGTTGTCGTTGTTTATTTTCTTCTGATAAATATATATTTCCAGACCTGTTTTTTTAATATAAAATCTGTTATATTTGTTTATTAATTTTGTCTTCTCTCTTTCTTTGTCTTTTTCTCCTCGTCATCCCCGTCCTTCCCTTTCCTTCTTTTCCCCTCTTCTATGTGATATTCGTGTTCTTAATCCCCTCGTGAAAGATGTTGTTCTTCTGATAAATTTATATTTCCTTACTTATTTTCTAATTTTGTTTATTGCTTTGCTAGAGACACTTAGTACTATTTTGGCAACTAGGTAGTAATAGTCAATCTGACCGTCTATGCAGGTTATATTTTGCACGACTTCATATGTATACAACAAATAATGAAATGGCATGAAAACATCAAAATATCAACATCAACAGCTACAAGACTTTAAGTAAGAAACTGAAATACTTTAACCCACCATCATAGCATTAGCATTGAGATATTTGTCTTATCAACTCAGATACCAACGGAAAAGAGCCGGCGAGTCTAAAAGAAGCCCAAAGAAAGTCCAATGATGGCAGTTTCGAGGACGAGAAGAGAAGAAAATATCCGACAATTCGCTCATGTATATCATCCCTGTCATTCTGGATGATACTTCTATGGCTGGCGATCCTGCAGCTTCACCTTTACTTCATAATTGGTGCAGTCAACTTTTTCCTCACCAGGCTTACCAATAACGACGAGCGCCTAGGTAATAATGTCGACGAGGAGTCTTTCTTTCTATTTCAATGATTTTTTATGTATACTATTCAGTGCACAAAACATTTTCCATTGAAGCATACCATGAATCTTATTAATAATTAACGCATATAAATCACCAACTTGAACACATGGTTATGAAATAAAGAGTTCACCTGGGCAACAGTTACAGTGAAAAGTTAAACTAATCAGAATTAAAAAGTGTTAGTATACAATTCCATGTTCTATGGTGGTAATTATGGGAGTTTACCTTTTCGATTTGTAAGATATTGTTAGTCTTTACACTTGAAATATTGTATCAAACTATATTATGCACTTTCTTCATAGCAACAAATCAGCAAAGGAGCTCTACAACCTAGCGCGCCGTTCTTAAAGGACCAAGAAAACCGGGGAAAGCATAAACAAGACTAAACCGTTATTGGAGTCAATGTCATTACTTCTGCTCTATTGCGAAACAGATTCCATAATTGTAATGATCTACTGACATGTCACTGTACCCTCACGTGGTTGTCCTTTCACCTGTGCTCAGTCAACTGAGGAATAATGGATTTAAGGTCAGCTAGGTGTCAAGAGATCATTACGGACTTTTAGATTTGCACGTCGACGGGCAAATCTAAAAGTCCCTATATTAACATGTCTCTCAGTACAGTATAGAGGAATGACAATGTGTCTTTCAAGCATGCCCATTTGTTAAAGCATGAATTGACTGATACTTCTGATTTGCACACACAATTTACATGAGAACCACAGGAAATCCCCTTCATTGGAAAATTTGTTCAAAATTTACAATTAAAAGGAGTTGCTCAGGAGGAAACTTACCTTTTGTGTTTTGGTGGTTTTTTGTTATTTGTATTTGTTTACAGTGAGCCGGTACACCGATGCCTTCGCGATCATCCAGACTTTCGTGTTCTTTGGCGGGCCTCTCGGTGGTCTTTTTATGGATAGGAACAAGCTCCAGACACCCTGCTCTACCACCAGTGAGTTTATAGCACGATCGCAAAGACTTTCGGGAAATCCCCTAATGCAATTTAAGATGTCATATCCATCATCCTTTGAAATGTGTTAAAGGTACTATGTCCCTTTTGCAGCCAACCTCAAATTCTGTAGAACTTTGCAGGAACTATGAATATGTCATGACTGTCCTATCTGTGAAATTTAAACGCTAGCAGTGTCCTAATATTCAAATTATGCAAGGAAACCCGTTAACTTGCTAGACTTTACTGACATACACTATTGAGTGACTGACCGGTTTTGTTTTCTTTGGTAATAACATACATAACATGAGCTGTGTAAAGGGTACATGGGCATTTGTTTACATCAATAACCCACTTCTTGTGATGGACAAAATTAAACTGACTGAATCTTTACGCAGCATAGACGTATGACTATTCTGTACAATGGTCTGAAAATCAAGACTATTACTTATTGGCTCTATTGCTCCTAAGTCGATTTGACAACTATTTTCGTTATTTTCCCACTTCAAGACATTTTCAAGCCCCACCTTTTTTTATGGAAGTTCTAAATTAGTATTATCTTTCAAATGCCGTTGGAATTTAACCTTTTCATTTTTTGGGCCTGCAAATGGGACATACTACCTTTAATATTCCAATTACATGTAACTTATGATTTGTATATACGTATTGCAATAAAGTATTGTTTTTGCCCTTTAAGTTGATTTTCGAAAGTTTTATCGATAATGTCATATGCGAGTTTTCGCGTTATTTATTTTTTCCCATCTCAACAAAAGTTTATTGTGCATGAAGTTATACATAAAATTGGCAGATTATTTTCGCGTATTATGATAATCCTAATGTAACAGTCTGTTTTTATATTTGTTGTTTGCTCGATGATTGCGTTGTTACACATATAATACACACTGAATACGTAACCATGACAAACAAAGAGAAACGAAACACTTCATTGTGAAATTACATTTATTGTACACAGGAATGATATATATATGTTTGATAAAATCCAACACAAGATATATTTTATAGTATATATATGTATATATATATATATATATATATATATATATATATATACACTATGAACATGACTGACAAAGAAAGCGGACAAAATATACAGTTCCTCAGGTAGACAAAGGAACACCCCTTCACTACTATTATGTAAAAATGTGTAGAACAGGTGTCACATGCATATTCACCTTTTTACATAATGGCAGTGAAGGGATGTTCCTTTGTCTACCTGAGGAACTGTATATTTTGTCCGCTTTCTTTGTATGTCATATTCATAGTGATATAAACATGTATTTGACTGTCTCCTTGCAATGCAGAGAAACCGTATGTTCGTGGTCAGTTTGCCGACATGCGAGATAGCTGTCTCCCTCTAGCGGTCACAAGTCTCTCGGCAGTCGGTTACTCGGTATGTCTCTTGATACCAAGTCTTCCTCTTCAGTATCTCACTTTTGTCTTCATTCTCCTTATGAGATCTCTTCTCTTTGGGGCCGGGGCGTCGGTGACCACCATCATGTAAGTTATCAAAATTGTACTGTATACCACAAATCTTGAATTTGATTTAGGGCATATTTTGTTTTTCTGTTTTGTTAAGAGTTTCGTTTCTAGTGGTGCAAATTTCAAGGATGAACTTTGGACTTTATGTTTTTAACTTTAGGAAAATATAAATAGAAAATCGAATAAATTATAGAAAATTAGGGAGTCATTTGATTAAGTGGTCTCTACTAACTTAATACTTTTGTTTATATATCATAGTAGTACAGCTCTTGTATATTAAGTAATTTACTATGAAATCAACTGGAGAGTGGATGAGAAATGATATATATATTCAATATCAATGTGTATCTCATGATTCCAGATTCCCCATGCAGTACTTCGGCAGTGTGTACGGTGCTATTCGAACTATGAGTGGTTTCGTATCCTTCCTGCAGTACCCGATCTTTATTCTGATCCAGAATCATTTTAATGACGACCCTTTCTGGGTAAGCAAAACATACAGTTTATTGCTTGATACCCATTGTACACAATGTGTCATTTCGATTTAATTATTGTGATGAGTGATAATGTTTTTGTAATTATGATTATATGATTTACATTTATTTGTAAGATTTTATATTTCAAAAGATACAAAGACATTCATCTAAATTGGCATAATTATGTCTACCCAAAGATCACCCTAATTTGTATCCGGGTGGAAATGTAATTACTCGTTTTCATTAACCATCAACATCATCATTGAAATCTTTTGAGGTAGGCCTACAGGCAGTGCAATTAATTATAAATTAGACGGCCTTTCCTAGGAATATATTTTCATTCTTCCTTTTTTTTTAGGTGATCGTCGCCTTTATCGTAGCCGATTGTGTGACCCTCATACTACCTATCGCCCTCTACATCATGTCAAGAGGAAAGTCTCAAGCAGCTGCAGGCCGTACGAGTGCCGATCCTGGGTCACAAAATTGAAATAATAAATTGCCTACTTTTTATATACATGTATCATGGGCTTTGAAAAACCGAATACTAATTTGTAGTGGTTTTTTCGACATATCTAATCTTAGTTTGTATTAGTGGTTGCAAGTCAATTGCTTTGCGTTTCTCCTATGGTATGCCACAGGGTTCTGTGGGCGGGCAGACTCTTTTTTTTCAATTTATTTGATTGGATTGCGACAAGCTTTGTAACAACATGGCATAGATTATCATATTTATGCAGACGAATTCAACTTATGATTTCCTTCAATCCAAATATTCATGTTTATTTCATTTCCAACAGAAAGGTAAACAAAGATATTACATTTGTTTTCATACATAATTCATTTTTCAGGAAACGATACAAATACACTTTGCACATAATACAATTATTACAAGAATTTCTTAATTTCTGAGGAAATGGGGGTGATCCACTAAAAAGCAGTGCTTGTAGTTTGTAGATCCCCCAGTCCGCATAATCTGCGGAAAGGGCTGTTCATCGCCTTGAATCGTGCATGGTTGATGTTCACGATTGGATGTTCGCACGTTCTCTAAAATTGAATTCAGATAAATGTGAACTCCTTATATTTGGTTATTAGGTGCAGCTTAGTAAAACTCATTTTAAATTGAGTTTTTATTTTCATATATCAAAAAGATATGTACTATATAAACTCCAACATTTCTGGGAAAAATGAATGGAATCCTGTTAATGACTATGTGAAGAATGTTAAGGGTCAAGCAGTTCTTTGGGCAGTGAAGAAAAGCCATGCATATGATGTACAGCTTGATATTTTGTATTATGTCCTCTCCACGTCCGACAGTGAATTACCCACTATTCCTTGTTGTTGGTATATTACATAATAAAAGGGGAGAATGTGAATGTAATGTGAGCAAGCACTGAATCCAGTGACCGGGGTAATAGTTTATTATGTAAAGCGCTATATAAAAGTGGAATATTATTATCATTATTATAAAACAGTTCGAAAACCAGACAGATAATTCCTCGTTTGTAGATTTTGCCTGTTTAAGATATTTAACATGAATAAGTGTGTAACGAACATAAACATCATTTGAAGAACCGATGACATCCTTTTTAACCTTTCAAATGCAATTATTTAGAGAACCACATTGTACAATTTCTTTTGCATTTATGCATGAAATGTTTCAAAGCTGGCTCAGGGACCTCTCAGAAACACCTGAATATATGGTTTGGAGAATGGACTATCATACATGGTCTTTGCTTTTGTAACTATTGTAATGAAATATGGTCGAAATTTGGTCGAAAATCTGGATATTTCGTAATACGGGGGAAAGGATTATATTTACGAATCAAAATAAATTGTTTGGATTTTGCGGTAAAATGGAAATATATGTAAATCAAATAAATCTCAGAGAGAATAAATTGAAAAAGAAATGGTGTCACTTAAGAAAATATTTTGAGAGTTTTGGAAATGTGCTTACACGAACATGATCATGAATTTTATGTTAGGCATTTTGTTATATATTAAAAATACTAATTTTGGCATAAATGTTTGTTTTTATCTGCCACAAAGTTTTTCGGTCGTGATGATGATTATTTTTGTTTAGTCATTATGTTGGGAAATTATTTCTTTAATTTTGTGTATATAATGTATGGATATACTGGTTATGATGGAATTTGTTTCGAAAATAAAGAACCATGTGGACGGGAAAAAATATTATCATTATCGAATTATTATCATTATTATTATTATCATTATAATAAATTTTATTATTATTATTATGATTATTATTATTGTAATTATTAGAACAGTTATTATAATGTTTTCGTAATTAGGGGTGGGTGGGTGCAGGGAGGGGCGAGTTTTCCCCTCCCTCCTCCGCGAAGGGCAGAAGCTTTGACATTTCAATAAATTATTAGAGAAAGAAGACGATTCGTTGTACCATTCCCAAAAATAATCCTCGTCTAAATTATGTTTCCCCCCATCCCGCGAGAAGCGCAAAAGCTTTTACGTTTCATTAAATCATTAGAGAAAGAAGACGATTCGTTGTACCGTTCTCGACTCTTAATCCTTGTCTAAATTCAGTTTCCTCCTCCCCACTCCCTACCGCGCGAAGCGCGAAAGCTTCGACGTTTAATTAAATCATTAGCGAAAGAAGACGATTCGTTGTACCGTTATGACTTTTAATCCTCGTCTAAATTCAGTCCCCCCCCCCCTCACCGCGCAAAGCGCGGAAGCTTTTACGTTTCATTAAATCATTAGCGAAAGAAGACGATTCGTTGTACCGTCATGACTTTTAATCCTCGTCTATTTTCAGTTCCCCCCCCCCCTCCCACGCGAAGCGCGGAAGCTTTTACGTTTCATTAAATCATTAGAGAAAGAAGACGATTCGTTGTACAGTTTTCGTCTCTTAATCCTTGTCTAAATTCGGTTCCCTCCTCCCAGCTTCGACGTTTCATTAAATTTTTAGAGAATAAAGACGATTCGTTGTTCCGCTCTCAAAAAATAATTTAGTTTCACCCATCCGCGCGAAGCGCGGAAGCTTTTACGTTTCATTAAATCATTAGCGAAAGAAGACGATTCGTTGTACCGTTCTCGAAAATTATCCTCGTCTGAATTTAGTTCCCCCTCCCCTCCCCCCGCGCGAAGCGCGGAAGCTTTGACGTTTTATTAATTCATTTGAGAAAGAAGACGATTCGTTGTACCGTTCTCGACTCCTTGTCTGAATTTCAAAAATGTTCTTTGTCTATTCCCTTTTCTACCTACGTCCTCTTCCTTTTCACTCCTCTCTCTTTTTGGCCGGCGTTTATGGGGGGACCACGACCACCCCACCGCCCCCTGGCTACGCGCCTGCGGTCAGATGAACATATGTTGATACCTTGTTCGCCCCGGAAGCTCAGGGGTTTAAGGTTTTAATTTACGGTCAGATTAGCATTCAGGGGTCCGCCTTAGGGGTCCAGGGGGCAGAGCCCCGGAAGTTCAGGAGTTTTAGGCATTTAATTACAGTCAGATGAGCATTATTTTGATACCTAATTATTACAGTGGCAGGTCACTTATTGGCTTGGGGTTAAGGGGGCGGAGCCCCGGAATCTCAAGGGTTTTAGGCACTCAATTACGGTCAGATGAGTATCAAGGGGCCCGCCTAAGGGCTCTTGGTTGGGTCCAGGGGGCAGAGCCCCCGGAAGCTCAGGGGTTTTAAGCGTTTAATTACGGTCAGATGAGCATTTTTGATACCTTATTATTTGTAACACTGGCAGGACACTATTTGGCGTGGGGTCCATGGGGCAGAGCCCCCAGAAATCAGGGGTTTTAGGCATTAAATGACCGTCAGATGAGCATCTAAGGGTCCGCCTTAGGGCCCTAGGTGGAATCCAGGGGGCAAAGCCCTTGGGGTTTTAAGCATTTAATCATGGTCAGATGAGCATAATTTGATACCCCATTATAATGTGACACTGGCAGTTAACTATTTTTTCCTTCTCGCTCTCTTTCTTTCTTTTTCTCTTTAATATACTTTTTCAAAGAAAGTGTGGGGGGGGGGGGGGGGAGGGGGCTCGAGGATCCCGATTCTAGCTGTTCCGCGGGCCCTGATAATGTAGGCATCTCAAGAAGCATTCGTTGCCTGGCTGTAAATTTAGGAATTTGTCATTTTCCAACAAACGCATGAAGTGAGGAAAAATCTCGGAAAATGATCTCATTTCAGCATTATTTGTAAACCACCGTTATGGAAATAGAAATAAACCACGTTTGAATTCTATTTCTCCAAAGCCCCTATGAGTACGCCAGTGCCCCATCCCCCTCCCCCCCCCACCCCCTCCGATCTACACCTTGTTGGCGGGAAAATTGCAACTGATATCCCCTACCTTTCTTCATTCTCTTTTTTCTTTCCCTTTCTCTCCTCTTTCCCTTTCCTTCCTTATCTCTCTTTTAGGTTCGCTGGGGGGGGGGGGGAGGGGCAAGGTCATTTTGGTCCCCACCCCGCTCCACACATTGTTGGCAGGATTAACCGCAACTGATCTCCGCTTCTTTTCTCCCTTTTCTTTTTTTCGTCCTCTTTTTTGTTCCATTTTAGCTCTCCTCTTTTCCTTTTCCTTCCTTCTCTCTTTTTTTTAGCGGGGACGGGGGTGGGGGGGGGGGGGAAGGCTAGGGCCTTTTGCCCCCCCCCTCGATCCACAACTTGTTGGCGGGAAAATTGCAACTGATATCCCCCTTCTTTTCTTTTCTTCTTTCTCTTTTGTCCTTCCCTTTATCTCCTCTTTTTCTTTTTTCTTTCCCTTTCCTTCCTTCTCTTTTAATTTTGATTGGGGGGGGGGGGGGAGGGGGGCGGGGGGATGCAAAAGCCTGGGAGGCGAGTCCTTTTGCCCCCCCCCCGATCTCCTTCTTCCCTCTTTTCTTTTCTTCTTCCTCTTTTTTTTTCCCTTTCTCTTTTCTTTCCCTTTCCCTTCTTGTCCTTCTCTCTCTCTCTTTTTTTTTTGCGGGGGGGGGGGGGGGGGTGGCAAGGCCCGCTCGCTCCCCCTGGATCCGCGCCTGGGGTTTCATACATTCGTCCGCTCTGACCGGTGAGTCGTTAAGAGACTCACTGCGGTGGTTCTTGGTTAGCTTTTCACGAGCAAAGTATACGAATCTCTGATTTCGAAGATTCGAAGAATCAGAGCTGATGGCAACGTCTGATTTAGTGAAGTTGCGCAAATTTTCCCTGCCTCTATTTCATAGATGAAGCATCATATCAACACAAACTTTGTTTTTAAGTCCTTTAGCTGTGTTCACTTTAAATCTAACACTGAAGAGGATTTTATGTCCACAAACTCTTCCTTAGAAATTGGATCTTTGTGGGTGACAGATCCCTTGCCAGCTATTTTAACTTGAACTAACATTGCACAAAACATTTCACTGGATTGTCTAAATTGTGCATCATTCACATTGTAAAATTCCCTCACTCTAGGCCTATTTAATAAATTGTATTTGTAGTCCGAAACGTAGGGTTATCACAGGCCTAGATCTTTTAGCAAGCTACCAGTCGTTCTTCTTACCTCAGCGGAGGACGTTCGAAGAAAGCCGTTAAGTTCATCTGCTGAGAAGTCATCAATATCTTTAATAATGATGTGCCTTTTCAACACAGTACTGACTAAGAATGTTTACAGGTGAATTGATCACCGCTTTTTTACAATGAGAATCCTTCGTGTAAATCGACTTGCAGTCGCCATGTCTGATCAGCAGACGCGGCGCGGACATAGAGTTCTAAATAAGAACACTTAAGCACTCACTTCGCATTCGTGCGCGCACAATGCTACTTATGTTTTTCTTCCTCTTTTTTTTCCTCCCCTTTATCTCCTCTTTTCCTTTTTTCTTCCTCTTTCTTTCCCCTTTTCCTTCCTTCTCTCTTTTTTTCTTTCCCTTTCCTATCCTAAAGGGCAATACAACATCTTTTTTTTAGGCCTGACGTAGGTGATGACGTACGTCCAATATAACGGACCGAGGTTACGTCAATCGGGCAATATATAACGTTGGAGATCCTTGCAGCTCTAGTCACGTGAGGCGCATTGACCAATTACTAATCAGTATCTACCGTATATAGGCCATTTTATGTTGTTGGATATTTGTGCGGTTTTCTGTCCGATTATCGTCGTAAATTAGTTTAAAACATGCAAATGCATATTTCTCACACAAAATTGATGAACGTAATCATATTGATATTCCAGCATGAAACTGTGACTGAACAAAATTGTAGATAAGTTGATTTATATAATTCCTAAACGAGATTTTATAGGATTTTTTCAGACGATGCCTATTTTCATGCGGCGCATTGCAAAATATACCAATATCATGGTTTAAAGGTAAAGACCAGTATTGGAAATGCCCCAATTTCAAAAAATGAAATGGAAGCTCTCATTACCAATCGTGTGAAAGAATATGTTTTGACTAATACATGATGATAAAAAATTTGCCGGGAAACAGCCTACTTATTCATATATTTAGTAAATTTGTTTCTCTCATGGTCTGTGAGAGATATAGGGTAGTCCCATATACATCTTTTTGTGTATAGTGCTTGTAACTTTACGAAAAATGGGCCAAATTTCTTATCATTTTGATGATTCCAGAACCTTGCAGATGCTAGATGCTAGATGATCAACCTTTTCTGATCGATTTCACAACGTTTCTTTCACAATGCAATCGCATGACCATAACTGGTCTTTACCTTTAAAGTGTCATTGCGTTCCTCCCCCTCTTCTCTATCTCTCTCTCTCTCTCTCCCTCTCTTTCTTTTCTCTCTCTCTCTTATTCTTTTTTCTCTCTTTCTCCTCCTCCCCACCCCTCTCAGTGAGGAGAAAGCATTCATAGAGCTATTCTGAGAGGAATGAGGGAAATTTATTAGAGAGATAAAAATATTATGAGCAAAAGAACAGTTAGGAAGCTTAGGCAAGGGATGACTTCGACGATGTTACTATAAAACCGCACAAATAGTCAAAAATATTTTGATTGGAACATATAGCAAACAAATTATTACTTTGTAATTGTTTCTGTAATTTATTCTAACAGCACACCTATAAAATTACAATAAAAATAACAATGATAACAATAATATCAATTGAATTGAATTCATTCACCACCATTGAAACAAAAGATATGTATGAATAAACAATAACGATGTCAATATAACATAAATACATGACATGAATTATAAAAATACATGTTCTACGACGATATACATGTACATTATAAAACATATTTATTTCCTCCACTTCTCATAATTCTGCCTCAGATACTTTTAATTTCCCTCTAAGCACGGCCTTTCTTCTACGGCTACTAAAAAAAAAAAAAAAAAAAATGGGTTTTGACGCATTGATAGTAAACTTATTTGCAGTGCACCAATTCTGTATTGATTTTAAATTTTTATTTATTTCAGACTCATCTATTTGATCTACACCTTTTGGAAAGGTATGAAAAATATTAGAATCATCTGCAAATAGTCTGAATTTCAAATAATTTGTCACAGTTGGCAAGTCATTTATATAGATTCAAAACAGAGTTGGTCTTAAGACAGAACTTTGTGGTACACCACATTTGATATATCTACTTTCTGATGATGACTCTTTGTATTTCACAAACTGCATTCTGTCACTAAGATAGCTTTCGAGCCATTTAAGTGCATGTCCCCGGATAATAGGATAGCTTTTAAAATAATATGTTATCGTATATTGTCTCAAAAACCTTTTGAAATTCAAGAAACACAATTCAACCCCACTAAATATTCCTCCTTTTATTGCCCATGATACAAAGTAGGCAATTTATTCTTCAATTTTGTGACCCGGGATCGGCACTCGTACGGCCTGCAGCTGCATGGGACTTTCCTCTTGACATGACGTAGAGGGCGATAGGCAGTATGAGGGTCACACAATCGGCTACGATAAAGGCGACGATCACCTAAAAAAGAAGAAGAATGAAAATAATATTCTATGGATAGGTCGTCTTATTTATATTTAAGCGCACTGCATGTACGCACAAGATTATAATGCTGATGTTGATGGTTAATTGAAACGAGTTAATAATTTTTTACCCAGATACAGATTAAGGTGATCTTTTGGTAAGCATAATTATGCCAATTTAGATGAATGTCTTTTGTGCCTTTTGAAATATATAATCTTTGCAATAATATCATTAACGACTGTACATACAAATTACATTGTCTATTGTTCATTTGTGATTACTCGCGTAAATATACAACTTGTTGATTTTCTTCTTATATTTATGTATTGTGAAACTTAATGTGCATGTAGGTCTATAGGCTATATAAATGATGTTTACCCCAAAATTCAAATTTAAATTCAATGAATGTAAACTATATAATCCTAATTACAAACACATTATCACTCATCACATTAACTTAATCGAAAAGACGCATTGCGTACAATGGGCATCCCGCAATAAACAAAATTTTGCTCACCCAGAAAGGGTCGTCATTGAAATAATTCTGGATCAGGATAAAGATCGGGTACTGCAGGAAGGATACGAAACCACTCATAGTCCGAATAGCACCGTACACCCTGGCGAAGTACTGCATGGGAAATCTGAAATCATCATATACACATTGATATTAAATAAATATTTATGTATGTAATTTCTCACATGTAAATAATTCAAATCTTCAGTCGCTATCATAGTTAATTATTTAATATACAAGTCTTAGAGCTGTACTACTACTTCATCAGATGACTCCCTAATTTGTTTTTCTTTGAGCTATAATTTATTTGATTTTCTGTTCATATTTTTACTAAAGCTAAAAACATTTACAAGTCCAAGTTGATCCTTGAAATCTGCAACACTAGAAACGAAACGTTTTAACAAAACAGGAAAACAAAATATGCCCTGAATCAAGTTCAAAATTTGTGGTCTACAGTATAATTTTGATAACTTACATGATGGTGGTCACCGCCGGCGCGGTCCCAAAGAGAAAAGTTCTCACGATAAGGATGAAGACAAAAGTGAGATACTGAAGAGGAAGACTTGGTATCAAGAGACATACCGAGTAACCGACTGCCGAGAGACTTGTGACCGCTAGAGGGAGACAGCTATCTCGCAAATCGGCAAACTGACCCCGAACATTAGGTTTCTCTGGATTTCAAAGAGACGGTCAATTACATGTATATATATTATAAAATATCTCTTGTGGTGGATCCGATTAGATATTTATAATTTCTGTGCAGATAAGGGTTATAATCAATTTAATTTCATAATGAATTGTATCTTTCTCTTTTTTGTCATGGTTACGTATTCAGAAATTGTCTTCTCACCGTAGTGTAGTTGATTAATATGCTAAATGTTAAAACAACGCAATCATCTAAAAAACAAAACAATAGAAAACAAAATGCTAAGTTAGAATTATCAAAATACGATACAAAATTTGTTACCAATGTTATGTATAACTCCATGTACAATTACTTTTGTTGAGGTGGGGAGAAAAAGATAACGCGAAATGCGAAAACATGCATACAACAACACCATCGATAAAAATCAACAAGAACAATACTCTATTGCATTATGTATTTACAAATCGTGTTCGGATTTAGTGACACGTCATTGTAATATTCATGATGGATAGGACTACTGAACTTGCTTTAGGCGATTTCCCAATCGTGCTATAAACTCACTGGCGATAGAGCAGGGTGTCTGGAGCTTGTTCCTATCCATAAGAAGACCAGCGAGAGGCCCGCCGAAGAACACCAAAGCCTGGATGATCGCGAATGCATCGGTGTACCGGCTCACTAATAAAACAAAAACAAAACAAAAATTAAGCTCCTCCTGACTCCCTGAGCAACTCCTTGTAATTTCTGAATCGCAAATTTTGAACAAATTTTCGAAGGAGGGAGATTTTCTGTGGTTCTCGTGTAAATTTTTTGTGAAAATTCAGAGATATCAATCGATGTATTAGTAGAGGCTACTATGAAATCCCGTAAGACAATCGTGCCAAAATTGATTTTTTTTTGGCTAACTTTGTCAATTTCGGGGTGCTGAATCTAAAAAAAATTTGGTACCATTTTTTTCGACCACGTCTTGGGCAGCCATTTTGAATTTCAAAATGGCCACCATAAATAGTTGCACTTTGAGCATTATTTCATATTATAGACATCATAGAAGGTTCAAATTTCGGATAAAAAGCATGGCATTGATGTCTGATATAGTAATACAAATTTCCATGAAATTGTGCTTTGTTCCGGATAAGCCGCCATTTTGAATTTCAAAATGGCCGCCATTGTTAAGCCTATTTCAACTTGAATATCAAGTTAGAAGTGCATGGAAAGGTTAAAACTTGTTATAGTATCATCATTATGATGATATACATGCTTTAAAAGGAAATACATGCTTCGTTTAATGATGACCATTCTAATTAGCCGCCATCTTGAAATTCAAAATGGCCGCCATAATATGGTATTTCAGATTTGTAACACATATTGGGTATTGGAGCGCTTAAAATGCGAAATCAATCATTTTGGAAGGCATGTGATTCTAGAATCAATCACGGCAGTCAACTCCTGCTTTATATTGCGATATGTTGAATTGAATAATGACATATAATGCATGGCATAACCTGAGACTGATAAATCATGCGATTGTGATTTCAAAGACCAAATGTCTACCAAATGTACCTCCTTGCAACTGTGTCTAAAATGACAACTAATCTTATGGATGTGAGTTTAGTTGCGACGTTGAAACAACAATTTCTTATAATCTACAATTTTATATTCACCTAGTCAACATCGGGGCTATTCACATCATAGTCCTGTGTATTTTCACAGTCACAACACTTGCATAGGGCTGTGCAAGGCAGATGGTTCTTCTTGCAAGAGCAATGGCTTTTGCATTCCTTCCGACATGAGCATTTGACCAATTCCATGACTGCCTTCGGCGCAGGAAGCTCTAAACACTTGGTTGCACTGAATGTTCCTTCTGGGGAAAGCTCCCATCCATTTCCATCTAGAGGGGGCAGCTTTGGTTTTGGAACTTTGTATCCCTTGTTGACTCTGGCTACGAAGTTTGCCCTCTGGATGTGTGGTGTCAAGGATCCAAGGGTTGGTGGGAGCTTTTCTGCCTCAAGATTTTTTGCCCTGAATAACTCCCATCTAAGGTCACTCACTTTTGTGGCTTTGCTGTTTCTAGCATACACCTTGCAGACAAAGTCTTCCAAGACTGATAACACACTTTCCTGGTTGAAGTCTTCTTCACCTAATGTTTGGAATGCATGGACTATGTCACATTCTGGGTCAAGGCCCAAATACTGCTTGATCCATCTGCTCTTTGAGATGCCTGCAAATTTACCACCCCAATCGGCACCACTGAATGCATGTAGACCAAGCAAACCTTTGCTTTTTTCGCTACCAACTGCAGAACATCTCTCAGCAATGTCAATTGTACGTTTCGCATTTCCCTTTCCAGTGATGAAGCAAAGGCGACCTAAGACATTGTGTGTAGAACAAAGATCCATCAGATATACAAAGACGTCAGTGTCTGGAGAATAAACATCAATATCTATGATGTTCTCTGCTGCTCTTGAGGTAGCATCCAGTACATGCAATGGGATGAGTGTATCCGCTTCCTCATGTGTGTGATGGCTGAGTTCTGGATCAAACATATCTGGCTTGTTGGAATATGTAGCATTTCCGTAGACGACAACAACGTTCTTGCTACTATTTGTATACTCATGCAGAACAGCCTTTCCAAGATATTCTGTCAGTTGCGACTTGGTGTAGTTGTGAGACAGAAGAGTCTTCAGTGAAACGAGCTTGATGTTGGTATTGTCCTTGATATCAAACTTCACTGGTTCAATACCTGCAGTCCTTTTCCCTCTAGTCTGTGCCTTGAGGGAATCATCAATGTATCTATCAAAGATAACCCGTGCTTCATCGTACTGGGATGCAATTTTCCTTATGCTCCTAACAAAAGCAGCAGCAAAGTCGGAGCAGTCAACCATTGATGGGGACTTCTTTATGGCCTGGACAACTGCCATGGCATCGATGATGCACAGTTTGTCTGTTTTCTTGTCTTCTCCTGATGTCTCTATGTTGGGTGAATCTTGCTGCTCATTGATCTGGTCTTCAGACTGACTATTCGGTTCAGCTCCATAGGTTTCTATGGCATGGATGAAAGAGCTTTTGTCTGATGGGATAAGGAGAAGGCCATCTGAGGTAAATAGCGACCTAGGAATGACAGAAAATTCATATTTTCCAATTGTGTCACCCAGTGAATGTATCATTCCAGGTCTGGACTGCTGAACAACGAGAAATCTTGCAAGAAGTTGGCGATCCTCTCTTAGCTTGACGAGCTTGGCTCCAATCTTACACTGTGTCTTCTTTCTGCAAGAGCTGAATGTCTTCAGTTTGGCCTTCCTCATTGGGTCCCAGATAGATTTCTTGACCGATGACTCAACTATTCTGTCAGATACAAATTATTTCCCTTTACATCTCTTTCAAGAATGTCCTCCCTGAAAGCTTCAGGAACTTGCATGTTAGATACCATATTCATCAGCTTCATTGACCAGATTTCAAATGGATTGCCCTCGCAGTGTCGTATGATTGCTTTCTTGATTGTTGATGAATTTCTGTGCATGCGAAGAGCCACAGAACCACTGAGCTGATAGTGCTCCTTCGTAGTTTGAGAGTCATTGGTGGTACAACAGTAAGCATCTTGGAAGTCTTGAATGAGGATGACCAATTCAGGGGCAATCAGGAAAAACCTACCCAGTGCTTCTTCATTTTGTGTTATTCCAGTGATGCCGCCAGCTACTTTCACTTCCCTGATCAGCTGTTCCAATGTTTGGTCAACAAATAGGTTCGTGAATGGGATGCCAGATTTAGTGACCATGAAGTCCCCTGCCTTTAGTGCATCCCAAGTAGTAGGATCAGATGTCTTCAGCGAATGCATTTGAAGAAGGTAGATTGGCACGAGCCTAGCATACTTGTATAAGTCATGTGCAAAGTAGTACTTGACCTGCTCTTCCATGGAAGCGAGATGCAGCTCCCAGTTCCCCTGTCTGCTAGCTCGAATCACATGCAGTAAACTCTCAACTTGCTTCATGTAGTTGAGTAAGAATGTTGCCATCTCGTCATTCTCTTGGATGATTGTGGTTTGATAATGCTCTTTAATCATTGAAGTTACCTCCTCAAAAACCTGTTTAATGTCACTATCTCTCTCGTGTAACTTCTTACGAAGCTCTTCGCATTTCTTAATCATGCTGTCCAAGTGTTCATGATGTACTGATGCTTCAAACAGGAGATCATAGCACGCCATGATGTTGGTCATGTGGAATTCAATACCACGTTTGAACCACTTTCCAGTGAATATTTGGCGGATCGTTGAAGGGGAAAAGAGGCCTGCTTCAATGCTAATAGATTCCAAGCCACTGTCCTCGAGATATTTTGCAATTGCATGCAGTGATGCGAAGCAGGCATGGAGTTCACCAATTCGAAGAATCCAGTTCTTGTTCCCTGTGGAAGATTGAAGTTTGGTTGCTCTCTCATACAAATCAAGATCAAGGGTGATGACTGTTTTCTTATGAGGACCAACCACAGCAGCTGATATCCCTTGAGCAAGACTTAAGATTGTAAAGAGAGATGAATAGTCAGTGGGAGGTCGGCGTAACAGAGGAGCAACAATCGCACTCTTTGTCAAGGATTGATTTCCTTTCTGCTGTGCCTGAACGAGTAAGGAATTGGTGGCTGCCCAGGTTGGCACTACTGTCTTCTTCAGTGCTTTGGCTGATGAGTGTACACCAGGTCCTTCAGAAGTTTTAGTGCTTCCTTCACTTTGTTCAATTCCATGGACTCTGGAATTCCCACCTGAATTGTCTAGACTAGGAGTTGTCATTGCCATAGGCTGTTCAATATCCGAAACAAGGTAATGTTCAAAAGTTGCACCTGAAGTAACCGACTCCAAAGATTGCTCGTCCTCAGGTTGTGTATCACTGTTCTGATCAGAATGGACGTGGAGGCTAGTCTCATCATCACTTGATTGTTCTGTAAGCGGTGATTGACTATCAAGAGGCTCAGTCAGTTGAGAAATATCAATGTGTAGAGATTCATTTGCAGCTACAGGGTGTGTTGCACTTGAAGTTGTATTTGACCTTGTAGAAAAGGATGCCATGAACCACGCCTTGTCACACATCTCATTTTCGCTGATGCCATGCTGAAAGGAGCCAAACTCAAATGAACTGGCAGTGATTGTTTTGACTTAAAGAGATGGTGGATGCTGTAGTTTGATGTCTACATCAATGGGTTTGACATCGTCTGGAATCCGGAGTGGTTCACTGACCTGTGGCTGAGTCACTATCCCCACCCTGGTTCTGATTGATTACCAGAATGGTACCATGGAGAGTGTTCTGACCGTCGGCAGTGTTTTCAAGGAAGTCAATATTGTCCGCTGCGAAAAATAGAGACTTTCCTTTCTCAATGAAAGGTGGCAAACAAAACCCACCAGATGTCTCCATCCTTTCTGCAACTCCACTGGCAATCCGCTTTTCAATTTGCAGCACCTTATCATACGAGCATCCAATGTTCAAATGGGATAGAAGATCAACTAGATCTTTACTTCTTGTCTTCTTGTGTATTGTGAGTGCCAATCCTACTGATAACGGCGTTTCATGCCTCCTTCTGAATTCGGCATCTGATTCTGGTGAATATGCTGCTTGACGGTCAGTCTTGAAGTTAAGCAACATTTGCTGCGCCATAAGATTGACTGCTTTTCTTGATGATTGGCTACGTCTTCCCTTAATGCCTACGCATTTTGTGCCAAAGAGAACCCAACGAAGGAAACTGGTCAGTAGAGGAGGATGCTGAAATTCTGACATCGACTGGATACCTGTAAATTTCCATTTAGCAGATGAAGATGCAAGTGCCTTTCTTAGTATCGTAGCTGCTTCCTGAAGACATTCAACATCAGCTTCTTCTGTTTGTTGCTCATGAAGTTCAGAAACAGTTTTTCCAAGCAGCTTTTCACCTACGAGAAGTTCACTCTCATTGGCACGATGTGATTTTATGAAATTTACTCCTTCAATGTTTTCTGATATTATTGCTTTCAGGTGTTTTTTGTGGTGATAAGGTCCGGGGTCGATGTCATTGTCAGCAAGGAATGAAACGTACAACTCATTAACTTCATTCATCGTCACAGTAAACCCTTCATTCAAAGAACATTTCACAGCATTCAATATGTCAATATCAGCAATATGTTTGCCAATGTTTAATTTGGACCTCATCTCTGAGTTGGAGTAGCCCTGTACCTTTCGCTCATGATCCCTTAGACAATTTCTGTGATACATCAAGTCAAATGCAGAACAATCTGTAGGCTCATTAACATGAGCTAACGCCACACGTAATTTTTCATCTTTTGTGTTTGATTTGATGAACATTAATCTTCTCCCCATAGACTCTGTTTCTACTCTATGTAGTTCACCACTATGTGCATTTTTGCATTGAAACACACAATTTTTGGCATTCGGTGCAGAGCTTGATCTTCTTAGTCGCCCTGGTACATCTCCTTTGCTGCATGACGGTGAAACCGATCTTGAAGGCCGTCCTTTCTTTGGTTGGACTGCTGTCTTTGATGATGATGATGATGCATCAAGAACCCTTTTCTCTGCCCTTTTCAACTTCGCATTATTTACAATCTGTTTGTAGCATGCCCAATGAAAAACAGACTGAAAATATTGTTCATCTGTAAGACTTACTATCCTTTCCCAAACAGGAGAAATCGTAGTTTCCCCCAAAGAAGAGCGTTTTTTTTGCAAAGTCTTTGAGTTTTTCTAGGGATGATTTGGATGGTGTCAAGTTCATTTGCGTTGATTCATCAGCTTGCAAACATACGATACACTTATTTGAACTTCGGCCGGAGGTCTCCATCTTGTCTGCTCGTTCAGTCCTGGAAAGAGACCGGATGACTGAATGAGCTTTAGATTTTCTTTCATTTCGAGCAAATTAATGAAGTCATAACAATGACAGCATAAAGGTGGAGTGTAAATCGTTTGTAATGTATTGTTGACGTTTATTCACAAAATCTAATTTCAGTAAGATTTCAATATATTTTTGATTCATTCATTAATGCATCACTCACTTTTGTATTGAAAAGATAACAAAAATAATAAATCATTTATGTTCTCTCTTGGCTAACCTGGAAATTGACACACATGTGACAGTTTTGTTTCCTCATATCCACTCTTTCATCATTTAAGATCTGAATCAGACCCTGAAGGGAGTGAAGGGGAAAAACAGCAAAGATTATGCATCAATTGGTTACAGATTCACTAATCTGTTACTAGTTTGTAGTGAATTAAGATGTCCATGTTGGCATAAAAATTCCCCCCTAGATTCCATATTGATAAACACTGTTATTGTAGGGATCACAAATACATCATTGATAAATTTGCTTCCCTTGGAGCCTATTCCGATCATTTTGGGTTAATTATAATAACTTTGATAAACTGTTCAACACCCAGCACTCATAGGAAATAACACAGATACAAATAGCTACTGTACAGTACGTATGTGCGAGATGGTAACATCATTGACTTTAAGCAAAGAGAATACTTCACATTACACATATTCAAATGTCTATTTAAACATTCTTATAAAACAACAGCAACTGACATCTGTTTATCAACAAAGGTAAATGTACATTGTAGGCAAATTTAATAGTTTAAAAGGCCTACCTCTCAAATCATGTGGTATGGTGACAGCTGCTCTGACAAAATCAGAATGCATAGAAGAACATTGTAGAGGTCTTGAGTCTTTACACAAGTAAATAGGTTTAGTGGGACAGTAAAACAATCTGTCAGTTGTGTGTAATCTGTATGGGACACAGACTTACATAGTGTATCTATACACATACATCCACGTGGGTGAGAGCACATGGGGAGCACATGTCATATCAAAGATATGCTGGCAATCTGCATAGACACGTGATACTGCATTCTGATGTGATGCGTGTCTCATCATGTCTTATCTCTGGAATAACAGGCCTGTATTTGCACACTGAAGTTTTAATACGTCCAGTCCAAGGCATTTATTTTTCTAGTTTTTCTTTAACACCACATTCAGTAACTGTTATATGTTATAATTAAGCCCCCCCCCCCCCCGGGTGGAAGAAGGGGGGTGATGCGTTTAGGCATATATACGATGATCAAGATGACAGCCGGTATTCTATGTACCAGGTCCTGCAAGCTTTAAATACAGATGATCTCTCAAAATGGATGATTCTAAGGTACTTTCAAATGAATTAATATAGCAAATGTTATTCCATGGCGGCCATTTTGAATTTCAAAATGGTGGCCAATTCGAATGGTCAGTTACTGGGAGCTTGTGTTTTGTTTGAAAACACACATAGCATCAATATTATGATACTGTTACGGTACAAACCTTTCCAGGTGCTTATAACTTGAGACATGAGATAAAATAGGATTAGCAATGGCGGCCATTTTGAATTTCAAGATGGCGGCCAATCGAAATAAAGCAAAATTTTATAAAAATGTGTATTGATATATCAGACATCATAAGCATACATTTTATCCCACATTTGCACCTTCTCCAATGTCTATAATATGAAATAATGGTAAAAAATGCATTTTTTATGGTGGCCATTTTGAAATTCAAAATGGCCGCCTAAGACGTGGTCGAAAAAAATGGTACCAAAGTTTTTTGGATTCAGCACCCCCAAATTGACAAAGTTAGCCAAAAAAAAAAAAAAATCAATTTTGGCACAATTATCTCACGGGATTCAATATTGTGACATTACAGGCTGTACTATATGCTTGAATGGCCACGCTTGATCATGGCTACATTCAGGCCTGGCTACATTTCAAACTCCGATTGTCTCATTTTTCACTCGCTTGATCTGCTGCGCGCGCGTTGCAGCATAAACCGTCTTAGCTCGCTTGACGTCACTACCGAACTTGCCAATCAGCTGTCAATGACGTCATACCTTGTTTGGCGTAAAGGGATAGAGCAACGTCGATCTGGCGCTGCCCAGTGGCTGCCGGGCTCACGATCGATTGGGCAAAAAGAATTTCCATTTTCGGTTTAACTTAATAAAATTAGGAGTGGACTTTAAAAGATTATTATTATTATTATTATTATTATTATATTGCATGCGGCGGCAAATATATTTGGTGGTATGCTTCAATGGAATATGTTTTGTGCACTGAAAAGTATCCATGAAATATCATTGAAATAGAAAGAGAGACTCCTCGTTGACATTATTACCTAGTCGTTCGTCGTTATTGGTAAGCCTGCTGAGGAAAAAGTAGATTGCACCGAATATGAAGTTGAGCTGAAGCTGCAGGATCGCCAGCCATAACAGTATCATCCAAAATGGCGGCGATAATATACATGAGCGAAATGTCGGATATTTTCTTCTCTTCTCGTCCTCGAAACAGCCATCATCGGACTTTCTTTGGGCTTCTTTTAGACTCGCCGGTGTCATAGGCGATTTGTTCCGTGCAGGCGATCGGTTCCTCCGGAACCGATCGCCTGGATATGTACCCGCCGATTTGTTCCGGATTCGTAGATTCGTTCCGCTAGTCACAGGCGATCGGTTCCGGCCAGGCGATCCGTTCCGAATCTCATCGGAGAGCGTGCGTGCTCACGTATTATTGAATACACGCCATGGTACACCCCTAAAGCAAAATGAACTATTCTGGTCGGCCTTTGCAACCAATCAAACTTTTCCAAATTAGCTACACCAACGATTGCCAATTTGAGAACTTTGTATAGAAATGCAGATTCCCGTTGTTCAAATATGTTGATAATTGCGGCCAATGATTGACCACAAACAGCGCCGTCGCGAAGCGACGGGGACTGGGTGGTCTAGCAAAAAGGGCAGTTGTTGCCATAGGCTTAGTTTGCCTGTAAAAGCAGATGTCGGGGTGTTTTCTAATCAGGCCTTCTAATTTGGTTTGAATGCTGCTTTATATGATATCGTGTTACGTCAACCACCTATTACCGGGCTTCGATCATCACAGAATCTAATTATGCATGTGGGCTGCATGCATGATGTACATGTAGACTCTAGTTTAAATGAAAGAGATGCGGGGTGGGGTGGGGGGGGGGGGGGGGGGGCCGGGGTCAACACAAAAATATTTCAAAAAAAATAATATTGGTTTTCATTGCAACAATAAATACAAAAGTATCAAGATAAAGCTAAAATTTATTTTTACCATGTTTATTCGACACAAGTAATAAAAATATACGCGATTATATAAGCAGAAACGTTCGGCCAATGTCGGATAAGAACGGCGGCTTTCGAACGTATCTGCGAACGAGTCGATCCAGTAGATTCGTTCCGAGGAACAAATCGGCGCGCCGATTTGTTCCGCGGAACCCGGAACAAATCGCCTACCACACCGGCTCTTTTCCGTTGGTATCTGAGTTGATAAGACAAATATTCCAATGCTAATGTTATGATGGTGGATTAACGTATTTTATTTTCGAAGACAAAGAAAGAGATAAAACAAAATAAACAAACAAATAAAATAGATTTTATAAAAAAAGAGGTCTGGAAATATAAATTTATCAGAAGAAGATAAACAACGACAACAACAGGCCTAAGAAGAAGACCAAGAACATCACCGAGAAGGAAAGGAAGGGAGAAACGTAAAAGAGGGAGAGACAGGGAAACAAAACATCCATACCTACCAGTAACCGAGTCCAACCCTACTCCGTCCCCGTGTGGTTCTTCTGAACACCCCATATCATCGGCGGGATCCTCAACGTATGCTTCATTGCGGAGTCCAGCAACACCCTTCTGGTCTTGATCGGTCTTTGTAGTGCAGCAGGTTACCAGTCGATGGTGGTCGGGGTAGGGCCAGGGGATGCGTTTGACGGGCAGGATGATGAAGGTGTTAATGCTGAGGAGGATCACGGATCCAGCCATAATCGAGAAGAAGATTCGAAGGGACAACCCTGCTTCATAAGCTGCCTGGAGTGCGATTTGAATTGAGAAGGCGATCGTAAAGGCTTTCAAGAAATCAACTCAAGTTCGAATTGCAATTGGATTTTGAATTAAGAAAGAAAGATAAAAAAAGAAGAAAGAGGGAGGGAGAGGGAAAGAGAGAGAAAAAGAGAGGGAGAGAGAGAGAGAGAGAGAGGAAGAAAGAGAAGAAGACAACGAAGAAAAAAGATGGTCCGACCCCTCCCGTACACCCCTTACTCGACGGTTTTGTTATCTCGCATTCTCCTACCTGAAAAAACCGATGTCACCCAAAGATACTCGTGCCCAGGCCAGTAGCCACGGGGGGAGGGGGACACGGGGGATGGGGGGGGGGGGGCACGTGCCCCCAAAACATGTCCAAGATCGGTTGAACTTTTTTAGACCCCTCCCCAGGACTTCGATCAATTACATGTATGTGCCCCCACCCCCAAACATCAAACTCTGGCTACGGCCCTGCTCATGCCCCCTCCTAACCGGCCTAAGCCATTCTACGCCAATGCGAATTAGAATTTCTTTGAAAATTGTTTCTTACCTTAGCTATTAAAAAGACAATCGTTGATGAACTATACACGCCATTAATCAATGAAATGACAGTAGATTTCCTTCCTTGGAAAACATTACCAATCTGTATTTAGAAATAAGAAAAAACACCATACATCGTAATTACAAAAATCTGCGTGTAATCCATATATTCTAAACAGAATGATTTATTAGCCGATGAAATCGATAGCAAATGCGAAAGGTTACATTTTGTATTTTTATATTGTTGAAATTCTTTGGGCAAAAGCAAAATCAATCATGTAGCCAAATTATATAATTTTGAAAATTAACAAGAAAAAGTAAATAACCAGATATTTGATTAAATCATGCTCAAGAAGTAAATATGATGATGCTGATGATGAATGATGATAAAATGCTTGAAATTTAATGCCATTGCCTTTATGGCGGACTATTGGAGTGTTGGCTCAGTCAGTAGAGCGTCCGCTTCACAATCGGGAGGTCGTGGGTTCGAACCCCGGCCGCGTCATACCAAAAGACGTTAAAAGATGGGAGTTGTTGCTACCTTGTTTGGCGTTCAACAATAAGGGATAGAGCAACGTCGATCTGGCGCTGCTCAGTGGCTGCCGGGCTCACGATCAATTGGGCAAAAAGAATTTCCGTTTCGGTTTAATAAAATTTGGAGTGGACTATTAGGCTATTATTATTACCTCTACCTCCAAGCCATCACTGGTCTATGGCACAGTCACGATGAACTGGAAACAAATACCTCAGCTCTCCGGACTCATTCTGACGTATTTGTTTCCAGTTCATCGTGACTGTGCCATAGACCAGTGATGGCCTGGAGGTAGAGTCGCTGCTCGGCAAGAAATAGACGGCAGATTCATGTCCGCTGGTTAAAAAAAACACAATTCTGACTTGTTTTTCAATTACAAGATCGAGCATACGATTTGTATCTTAGATGTCTTAGAATGATGAAAATGTTGCCGACGATAATGATAATGATGATGATGATGATGGTGATGATGATGACGTTGGTGATACAAATGATTAAGATGATGATGATGGATGATGATGTTGATGACGATAAAGAATAAGTAGATGATGATGAAGAATACGATGAAAAAGAAGAGGAAGAGAAGGAGCAATGTAAAGCAGAAAATGAATATTAAAAAAGACAGATAACAAAAATGAGAAAACGAGGAAAAGGGGAAAATTAAAACCAAATATGTCACATTGATAACATAATCGATAAACTGACCTGCACTGATGAGAAGAGGAGTAAGGAGCCTGCCACAGTAAAGATAATGGTCCCCGGGAACAGGAGTAAGGGGGTAAGAGGAGAGCTGATACCCATCATTAAATAGCCGATCAGTAACAGGACGCTAAAGATAATCAACAGGGGGGGAATGCAATAAAAAAATAAGTATACATGCTTTCCGATGTGAACTCTTACACATTTGCGTTATCCATTTATGAATGAAGGTACATAGTTAGCTGAAAGGTTCCTGTTTTTTGGCTTCCTATATTTTAAACATAACGTGTTGAAACAAATCTTTAAACTTGATATATGAAAAATGAGAGAATGTTAAAGACAGTGGTGAGTTTTGGTTTTGAAAAAAAGAATTCTCACAGAATAAAACGAAACTTACACTAAATGTCCAAGATTACAAATAAATGTCATTCGCCAAACAATTTAGGTAGAAAATGTATACTGGCTGAGTAATGAGCATAGAAAGATTAGAAAATCAAGGTTGTTAGCCCCGACACCATTTGTGTAGTCCCGTATGCATCTTGCTGTGTACAGTGCTTGTTACTTTACCAAGACTGGGCCAAATTTATTATGATTTTGATGACTCCGGAACTTTGCAGTACACACCAATACTTACATGCTACGTGATCAATGATTTGTTTTCTGATCCATTCCTCACCTTTTCTTTCACAATGAAATCAGATGACAAGACTCAACTTTATCTTTAAGACTCTTACCTGAGCAGATGCCTAGACATTCTAGTCCCAAAGCGATCAAAGAAGAAGCCCATCGGGAACATAGAGATGGTCTGTGAAGCCACTGCCAAGGAGTAGACAAGCTGCAGGCGGCTGTCCTGCTCGTGACATGTCTGGTTATATGATGCTCTCTCTGAGCTGTCACCGTCAATGGTCATGCTAATCTATAATAACGATAAATGGTGATTCATAAAGCAGAAGGGATATTACATTTTTTTTCTCGCAATAGTTAAAAAAAAAGAAAGATTCCAAACAATACAAATTAATTTTAGAAATAAAATACAGTTGCTTTTCCTGTGAAGCCACTGCCATGGAGTAGACAAGCTGCAGGCGGCTGTCCTGCTCGAGACATGTCTGGTTATATGATGCTCTCTCTGAGCTGTCACCGTCAATGGTCATGCTAATCTATAATAACGATAAATGGTGATTCATAAAGCAGAAGGGATATTACATTTTTTTTCTCGCAATAGTTAAAAAAAAAAACTTGATTCCAAACAATACAAATTAATTTTAGAAATAAAATACAGTTGCTTTTCTTTGACATGTGTTCAAATAACATTTGCGGCAGTCGATCCTAGCTCATTTTCTCATTCGCGCTTAAACTTCCTCTTCCGCAGCTCCTTCTCCCGTTTACTGTGCATGTCATTTGAAATCCCGTACGCTCGCTGAATGGATGCACAGGAGTGCCTTGGAAGAAAATATATATGACGTCATCAATGGTATAGTGCACTATACCATGGATGACGTCACGGCTTAGCACATTTTTCTTATCTGTAACATCATAGCAATGTTATGTTTGGTCACACGATGCTATGTTGACCAATCACTGAACAGAATTTCATTAATCAAAACTATAATAAAACATATATATTTTATGATGTGTTGAACCCATTGATGATATTCGTTGATAATAAACTATATACCACGTGCTCCTACACCTTCCATCACCATCACAATGTCCAACATTTTTTCTACGGGCTTATTGAGGAAAAAAAAAATCTAGAAATATATTTCACTATGCCCGGGTGTCCACTGACTTCATACTGCTATAAGCCTATGTAGTTACTTCGTAAGTACCTACCAAGGTTTTAGGCATGTTCGTCCAGGTTTGTATCATTCGGAACACACATGAATGATAAAGCAATGCGTGGGGCTGTTATGCGAATTCTTTCACATGCACCAAAGATGTGTTTTTAAGCTGTGCATATAGCATTCAAAATGTCCCCACGATAGCTGGAATTACGAAATTATGTAATTTATACATACTTCCTTATTATTAGATCAAATAAACAAGCACTATTGTTAATTTTTACCAACATTATTCAAGCAAGACCATGCGTCATTCGGTGGGCACATATGATTTGCGATTTAATCAAGAAAATGGACCTTAAGCATTGTGATTGAAAGTGTATAATATGTTATCCACACCTATCATCAATGGATTCAATCTTTACGTTGGTTCCGAGGTTATTTTTCTTTGAGAAAACACAATACTATTATTAACGGGTCAGAAGCAAACCAAGTATTTTGTGGCGTCCCACGGGGAAGTATATCGGGGCCACTGTTATTCATATTATACATGAATGATTTACCACCTGTTGTCAAGCGTCGCACTGTATCAATGTTTGCTGACGACACATGTTTATATTATATTTTTGATCAATGAAATCCTGTTCTGTGATTGGTCAACATAGCATCATGTGACCAAACGTAACATTGCTATGATGTAACCTTGACGTCATCCATGGTATAGTGCACTTTACCATGGCACTATACCATGGATGACGTCATATATATGCGATCAATCAAGATCAATGTGCGAGTGCGGTACTGTCGTTTGCGCTGCTTTTTTTTGTTTTTTTTGAGGCCGCCATCCTTGTCAAGCTTTGCTTATGATTGCGGTCTCCTGCACTTTTCCACCAGAATAGTTAGGTTAATACTTTAAATTTATGATAATATGTTATGGAAATAATAAGTTTCGTTATTATAATTATGTACATATATTATGTAAAAAAACATTTTGACATGAAGAAATTATTGTTTGTTTATGTTGTATTATACCTTACATGTATATTATGTTATTTGTTATTCAGTTATATTTTATTTGGAAAAAATGCAGAAATAAAATCAAATCAAATCAAAATCAAAATCTCACTGCACTCTACACTACTTCAGTAACAGATAACATAATTATTATTATTATTATTATTATTTTTATGAAGGTTGGTTTGAAAAATATAAAACAAATACATCAATGGATCTCTAGATGCATAGTAAACAAATATACCATGCACTATTTCGAGCCACTAGTTAAAATTATGGATTCCTCGGCGACAGAAATGGCACTATTTTCTTCGGGGCTACGCCCCACAGAAATTAGTGCTATTCCTGTCACCTCAATCCATAATTTCAACTAGAGCCTCTCAGTGCATGGTATATTTGTTTACTATGCATCTAGAGATCCACATAGTCTTCAGTGTATAATTAATGAAGATTCATGATTGGTTACTGCATAATAAATGTAATGCAATGAAATGTAAGTTTACGGTCATAGGAACAAAACGTAAACGTAAAATTGTTGAGAACATTAATGTTTGTATTGATAATTGGCCCCTAAAGAGAGTCGATCAATGTAAATATATCGGTGTTAAACTTGATACAGATTTTCCATGGACACACAGTTTGAAAGGGCGAAATCAACAATACCACGGAACTTTTTTTGTCTTGCGAAGAGTTAGACCATTTATCGATCACCGGACTGCTCTACTGTTATGTAATACGATGATTCGATCTCGTTTTGATTATTGTAGTAGGATTTTGATGAAACCCAACTCTGGGCACGTAAAGAAGTTTCAGATATTACAAAACAGGGCATTAAGAATAGTACTTTGGGTGGATTCTCGCTTCAGCAGACATGAACTTTACAATAGATTAAACGTTATTTTCTAAGAAACAGTACTCTTTATATCGCATCTCGGCTATTTAATCACCTACCCCAATGCACCAGAAAAGAAACTCGGCTTTCAAACTTTATAAAGGCGATCGATGGTATTCCCCCCTACGTTATAATTGTTATCGACTATCTTATGGGGTGTTGCAAGAAACTTGCAATCAATTGCAAATAACCCAATCAAGCGCAAGTCTTGCGATTAATTGCAAATTTGCAATTGATCGCAACTCAACTTTCTTGCAACGTCCCATTAGTAAGAGAGGGAGAGAGAGAGAGAGAGAGAGAGAGAGAGAGAGAGAGAGAGGGGGGATGAATAAAAGCTAGATCTAGTTAAATTAATTTAATTGTTCAAGATTAAATCCTAACGAAATCCCAGGAAATTTAGGAGACTAGTGGGGCGTTGCAAGAAAGTTGAGTTGCAATCGATTGCAAATATCTGTTGCAAATTTTGCAACTTGCAGTTAAACGCAACTTGCAATCAATCGCAACTTTCTTGCAACACCCCATTAGTCTCTGTCTCTCTCCCCCTCTCTCTCTCTCTCTCTCATTCTATCTTCTCATCTTCCTCTCTCTCTCTCTTTCCCTCTCTCCCTCGCTCTCTCACTCAATCTACCTTTGATGATTTGTTTTATGATAAGGAGCTTGTGATTTGACTAAATTGTATTTTTTCCTCAAATTTCTGATATTAAAAATACTAAGCGTGATTACTATTAAAAGTTATTTACAGATATGTTTTCTTGTTATTATTATTATTTTTTTTTTTACAAATTTGTATTCTTTTTATTAAGTTATTTCCACATTTTTATTCTTGTTATTTTAATTTGTGTTATGAATTTATATTTGTTTTGTTTATGTATATTGTATGAATGTTTTTTTTACGGACTTGCTGAAAAACAACCTCGTGGCTGATAGCAGATGTTAACCGTGGTTAAATAAATAAAACAAACAAACACATCTAATATAGCATGTGTTTTAATATTCTAGTCAATACAATACTCGATTTTTCACGCATTACTTATTGGGTTCCAATGAATAGCTACAGGGCTCCCGAGGCCCTTTGAGCTGCCCCTATAAAGATGTAATATTGGTTGCATTATTAAGTACAGTATTTAGAATAATACATGTATGTAAAAAGAAAAAAAATATATCTAACTTAGTTAGTTTGATGTTCTTTAATTACCTATGTTGCATTTGGGCCCTTAACATCAGATTTAGACTACGCGAGACCTATTTGGCTATCACAGCGTCATATCCATAATGTATCAGTGTATTTTTTTTATACCGAAATAGAGTTTTGCTGTGATCCTTTTACCCAACAAAATAGGTTAAAGAAATTCTATTGACTGTCTAGAATTGCTGATTCTTTGGGCCCTATTTAGGACCTTGTGGTCTTTTGTGTGTCTGAACCTATATCTCTCTTTAGTATGTTGAATAAATCTAGTCATCTCATTGATCAAAATTGGAGTCGTGATTTTAGCCATGCCCGCCTCATGGTTAATATTTAATGAAAAAGATGCCCGTTGCCCCGGGTAACGGGAGGCTTTGTTAAATTTTGCTGAAATTCCCATTGGTTAACGTGTAAGAAGTTTGTGCGAATTCGGTATATAAAAGATATATGGAATGCTTTAATATTGGAGACATAGCTGTTTCTATACAGACTTTCTCATAGCAGTCAATATATTAATATCATTTTCACTGTATTGTTCGTAATGGGTTTTTTACACACCAAATGAACATTTTCAGCCAAAATATGTTGTCTGAAATGCATATAAACATTGTTGGTCCCTTAAACGTTAATCCACATTAATAAATAGGCTAACACAATTTCCCTGTTGGAGCCGGCTGTGTACCTAACTAATATAAGCAGCCTTAAACCGAATCCACGGTGGACCACCAAAGGAACTAGCATATACTTCCAATCATGTGGTGTGAAACTCACTGCTACCAGCAAAAGAGAATCTTTTCTCATGAAAAATAATACAAAGATTGACAAATTTGGCAGAGACGGTTTCGTTTTTAAGGAATATTTTGTGATACAATGCAGGAGTTTAATGAATGTGCAATGAAGCTGCGTTTTAAATAATTTGCGTTTGTGTTTAACAAGTCAGTGAAATACGCCTGACAAAAAGTGAGTGGAATTTGGTTTGTATTCAATCTAACATTTATCTAGTACAGCTCGCCTAAAGCTAATGCGTATTAAATACCAATTGTGAAACAAGATACATTATTTAATACAAGCACTGCCAGTGGGTGTCATTTGTTAACGAAAATGCATCTATTCTTAAATAGTCAACCAATTTTGATCTATTTTTCCTCTCTCGAAAAAAATCACCATCTACTGGTACCGGTAAGTTTTGACATTTTTTTCTTCACATTGAAATGCAAAACTTGATATTTAGTATTTTAAAAAAGCGCGTGGCATGCACCCCTTTCGGATTCCTTTTTATTTTTGCAAGGGTTTGTAGCATGGATGCCATGTATTACCCCCGAAAATGACATACAATATTTTTCTAGAGCCCTTTCGCTGGTCTACTATAACGTATGAGCGACCAAAATGAAAACATTATATCTTTGACTTGCCCGACATACACAGTGATAGTCTTGGGGATAAGCAAACACTTACGTTCAGAGGCGAGAGAGTACGGTTTTCGCTGGTGTTGTTGCACAGGTCACTGAAATAGCCGAGCTGTATAAGAATGAACACGAGTGAGGGCCAGCCAAAAATGACACCCCCATGGACCAGATTTTCAATGCAAGCAAGAAGAAGAGCGGCGCTCCTTTCTACAATCACCACAGCCTTCATGGTCTCTTTCAGCAAGCGAGTAGTTACCGTCCAGATAAGATGGTTGATGATAACTAGTATAACAATAAAAGTAAATATTATTGTTAGCAATTATCACCGGCCATCATCGTCATCATCGTCGTCGTTGTCATATCATCATCGTCCTCATCGTCAACGTTGTTAATAATATCAAGAGTATGTTACTGGTTGTCATGACGACCATGTATTAAATGACCCAAGACAACGATGATGATGATGACGATGATGGTTATCATTTGTATTAATATCATGATTTATTATTGACATTATCACCATCGCTATTATCACTTTTATTGACTTACGGTGGAAAATACAATGTGATTATTTGTCAGTTTAAGCTCAAGGGAGAGATTTCTTTTTTGTTTTGGGGTCGAAGTTGGAACTCTGTTGGCACGATTAGTGGAATGCATTTTAATACAGCGGAGCAACAGTCGCATAAGCACGTGTCCTACAATACCTTCCCGGCCCTCTTCAAGAAACGTTAATCCACGTAGTATTCCCATTTCCCCCAAAAATGTAAATATAAACTACAAGTTATAGGCATATACAATTCCAATTAAAAATTATGAATAACAAAGCATGAAAATAATTAAATAATATAAAGGTAGATCTTAAATGCAGTTTTCAAGGTCTGGATTGTAAGTGCAGTTCAATGGCGACCTTCATTTATGTGTACAATAAAGTTTTGGAGATCATATTACTTAATTTAACTGAGATGAAACGATCGACTGTATGTTTTCTCGTTTTTAAGTACAGGGAAACGCAGAATGAGGCTCATCCAAGGCTGAATAAAAATAGATATTAATAGTAAAAATACAGATCAGAACTAGAAGGCTATTTAATTTCAGCAATTAAAGTACAGAAAGCTTACTCACCTTCAGAATCACGAAGCAATAGAATGATGTTGGTGGATAATAACCATATTGACTACCATGCACACAAAAAACGAACCCCTTTCCCTCTAGTGTAACCGCAGTCGATCGACTTATATAATCTTCTGTTAAAATCTATTCCTAGGGGTTTTAAAGAAGGGGGATGGGGTCCTCCCTGCTGTTATGGTTGAGTAGCTGGTAGTTTGAGCGTGACATGTTGACCCATCAATTCAATTCAATTCAACAATATTTTCAATATATCACACTGCACTTTTCCTCCGTTTCCTTTCTTTCCTCGCTTTCCTTTTCTCCACTTTTCTTTCTTTCTCTTTCTTTCTTGCTTGTCTCTCTTCTCGCCTCTTCTACCTGACATAAATTTTCTTCTTTCAACTGTACAGTGTATCTTCCATCTATATGTGCATGTACTAGCATACAGTTGTATTAGTATTTCTTGGCATAAATAGCAGTGTTTCATTATATGTAACAGTACTAAGCACAGGTGCAATATAAATGACAAATTTATTACAAAGCAATGTTTTGAATTAAATTGTATATGCATCCTCTCACACTGAACTATTCCTCTCTTCAACACACACACCACACACACTCTCTCTCTCTCTTTCTATTTCCCTTTCCCTTTCTCCCTTTCTCTCTTTCGTTCTCTCTCTTGTCTCTCATCTATGCACTCCAGTATGATGTACGTTTAGTTATGTCTGCTACCAGAAATAAACAGTTTTTATCTGAATATTTTAACAATTGATGAATAATTGATTTTAGATCTTGGCTGTTACTTGTTTTATTTTATTGTTGTCATGTACATTTTTTAGAATATATTTAAGTTTGTATTGTCTGTTGGGAGCCAGGAGAGTACAAATAATAAAATAATTCCCCTGGCTCTCAACAGAGAGGTTAAATTAAAATACAATGTTATGTTATTTATATTATTTGTAGTTATTTGCCTATGATATGTTAATGTATTGTTATATTTCATACAAATTAATGTGAGACGATTTTTATGCCTTCATCTTATTTTGTGCATGACAATAAAGAAATCCAATCCAGTATGTCCCTTTTTGCAGCTAACATCGATTTCTGGAATGCATGGCTATACAGAGGATTTTTTCTTGTGGGGGACCGGGGATAGATGCAATGAATTGTTGATAATGTGTTGCATTTTCGTTCATATAGCTCCGTTTAGTCTCATTTGACAACGCCCCCTATCGTTAAGCAGGGCTCCCACTTAGCCGAGTTGTATTAGCGAGTTATGGCGAGTTGTGGTGAGTTGCCTCAAAGAGGCCCTCGCAATAACTCGCGAACAATTTGGTATGGCTATTAAAGCGTAACACATTCCAAGACTCTCCTCGAAGTCGCGTGCAGTTCCAAAATTTTGAACATGTTCACAAATTTTCCCCGATTCGTTTTAATTCGAGGTGAACTCGCCTACACTCGTAATATTCTCGCATTACTCGTAACAAGCTCGCGCTCCTTGCTTGGCTCTTCATTGCTCCATTATCGTTGTTTCGTAAAGACGCTGTCACCGATCCTGGCCTTGCTAACTGCTAGCTTCACCTTGCGAACAATTCCGCCAACGGAAGGAACGATCTCAACGACCCTTGTTAACGGCCACAAGTTTTTCGGCACGTTATCGTCCTTCACAATTCATCGTCGATAATTGCGACTTCTCGTTGTGGACGCGTTCTCTTCGTAGCCTGCAGACCAGAAAATGAGAAAAGGATAAATGACTGCCGGATACAGGTTTTAATTACAACGTATAAGAAGAACAAACAAAATTGAGAGAAAATGCTGTCTTATTGAAAAGTGTCGTATATGGTTTAAGCTTTATATGAAATATATAAATTAATATGTAAACTCAAGCTACCAAAAAACAAGTGTCTCTTATGATTTACCAGTTCGTATTATTCGTGAGTTTGCTGTCGAGTTAATTAAGCACACCATTAGGAAACATGCTAAATTCAGCTTTTCAGCTACGAATTTTTCCTCAAATGTGGAAATATGCTGAAAATTACACCTGTGTCAAAGTCTTATCCGCCTGTGACATACATGTACACGGGCGAAAATCTCTGCGCATAGAACTTTCAAAGACTCACTCAGATTTTCTTTCTGCTCATTTTGTTGTATTTCTGAAGATGAAAAAACACAATTGAGAGAATGAAAAAAAAAAAGGTGCATTGATCGTTTTATTTTGAAAAGCGTCATATATTTTTATGCTAATGACAAATAGTGTCGTTTGTGTGTATATTACATATCCGGAGAATTGAACTTAAACGAAATTCTCGCCTGTGACACCGCCTCTGTATCGGCACTTCACTACGTTGTGAATTCGGCTCCAGTGATCTTTGAAATTGACTGGTTTACCAAGATTTTAATAATGGGTTTATTTATTCAAAAATATTCATCGCAGCCAATCGCAGCCCAGGGACAGAATATTGTACAGTTTGTTTTACAAAAGTATTTACATGATAAAAAATACACTACATAGATTCATTGTTCAAGTAAACAGTATGCAATTGTAAATTATTCAGGAGTATAGTACCAAGGAGCACATGTGAGTCTACCATTAAATTAGTACATGTAGCAGTACAATATTAGGTGTATAGGTGATGGTTCAAAAGAATCTAGTGTGATGTAAGTGAAGACCGCAAAAGGGAGGCAGGGGAGTGGAGAGAGAGAGAGAGAGAGAGAAAGAGATATAAAGAGAGAGGTAAGGAAAAGATTATTATTATGCCTTATAATTACCAAAGGAAACAAGTGCATCGGCTTGGTTTCGAACCCGGGACCTACCGGGTACAAGTCCACTGCTCTACCACTGAGCCATCTTTAAAGCAGGTCCCAAGTCTTACAGACTGTAATAGGTGTACGATTAGCTGAATGCAATTCTGCGTAAGATTCACAGCCGGATTCTCACACGCCTTACATGTATTTTTTCTTTATATTTCATCTACTCCCAATCAGAACAACACACTATTTACAAAGAAAAATAATACCACCTTACTCTCTTCAATTTTCGTACTTACATCCGTATATTCTAATACATGTACAAGTCACACAAAACTTTAGAACATAACGATATCATTTCTCAATTATCACTTTATATTCGTTTTAAAAGACAAAAATATACAAATTACTGCACATTCCTCCAATAATATACAGACAACTGTAAATTTATCAAATGATAAACAAAGTACTGTTAATTCAATGTGATGTCAATATAGATAGTTCTTCAATATGGAAGACATTATAGATTGCATATCAGATTATTATTTTTTAACTGCACTGAAATACAAGGATCTATATTCTGAAATATATGCCTCAAAACATTACTCTTCTAGACTATCTAACAAACATTTCATAACACGTACTCCTGCAGTCTACATACACTTAATACACTTAGAGAATGGAGCCTCTCTACGTACATGATTTGTCATATTTATATGCAAGGGCATTATTGAGAAATTTGAATATGGCATAAAAGTCATGTCTATTTTACCTGATAATAAATGAGCATGTGACAATGGCTTAATCTTAACGTCGTATCTTTACATCACCACTGGGTAGGATATACAAGGAAAACTACGTCTAAATGATTGCAGGAATGCAGCCATCTTTCAAAAGTAAGATATTCCATATAATGGAATTTCAACTACGTTTGCTGAACAGCCTTGAAATATTTCTATAGCCATTTTTGGTTCTGACTTTAATATTCAGTGTACAGCAGCATTCAAAATCTTTTCTGTTGTATATTTCATGTCAGCAAAACACAAGTCACGAACACCTTCCTGTTGTCTATTGACAACATCTCTTAATTGTTCACTCCATTTCTAATGGCATGATAAAAGTGAAATCTAACATTTCTTACTACTTGTGGCATCATTAATTCTTGCTTAAATGGTGCTCATGCTTATTTAAGAAAGATTTGAAGGGTGTTTATGTCACTGAGATCTAATAAATCTCAAAATACGACCTCTGGGCAACAATTTACAAACGGGCTATGAATGTCCCTTTTTAATAAATTACAATTATACTATTTTAATAAATTACAATTATGATATAAAAAAAGTAATAGAAGCAGAATTGCTTCATTCTTAGTGGGTTGCTCATTAACTCTCATTCACTAGTGATATGAACATTCCCCGAAATTAAATCAGGCAGACTTTGTCTAGGCCTACATGTACTTTGAAAGTTGTGGTATTACATTCAAGAGGAAAACTAACCTGTAACAGTTTTGATGTCCAGAGTTCCGACATCTTTCTCAGATGCGAACAGGCAGGCTGAAGCTAGCTTACATCTTTACATCGTTTATGTCAGACAGCTGATATCATCATAATGATGATATGCAGTAATCGCCAAAACAACAACCACTTGCGATAGCAAAATTGGCAGCGTACTTCAGTCTGCTAATTCGCGTCTGAGGAAGATGTCTAAACTCTAGACATCGAAACTGTGATATCATACGAGAACTTTCAAACCATTATTACAACCATCCTTATGAAAATCGTCATAATCGTTTACATGTGTATTTGATTATATTGCTATTTCTAATAAAATCTGAACATAATGTGATATCTCGCATTGTGTAGTATAATAATAATACATAACATTTATCAGGCGCTTAATACGGGTGTTTCTAAGCGCACCATTGTCTGAATTAAAATAACCAACCACAACTTATAATAAACAAAAATAATATATATCTGTTCTTTATTCAATAAATCATGCATATGCATATGCCATAACATCTGCTCTCCATGAAAGAATTTTCATTATCCCTGCAATTAAAATCATTTGGCATATTGTATATAGTCAGGCAATTAGATATAGCTCACACACATGTCATTTGGAAATACATTATATAATACAGAATTGCACAGAATCATCAGATGTCAACATATAGACCAACATAAATTTCTCAATGACAAAATATAACATTATAAACCATTTAGAAGATCAGATAGTTAAATCCGTTTTGAAGGAGAACATACAATACACACATGAACGTTTACTATCTATACAAAACAATTTATGTATAAAACAATGTATAACAAATTATTTTGATCAAAATAAAGTGAAATACGATACAAACTGCCTGGATTAATTTGTCTTTTTTTAAATACTTTTTATTAGATACCCCCAAACTTTAACTGATGTAGTTTTTCTGTCATTTTCTATCAACATTGACCAATGTATACCGAAATTTTCTCATTCCCATAGGCTGTTTTACAATAACCACATGGTTCTCATATAGGCAATGAGTTAAAACCAATTTAATACTGTATCAGGATGAGATTGCCCTCTAATATTCATTGATTTAATTCAGTATGTGGATTAAGTCAGAAATTTACTTAGCATTTAGCTTACCTACGTAAAATGGCTTCTAGTCTTCTTCAAATGAGATCAAGTCAGCTTAGCTTAGGGTAAAAAACACTTTGCCAACATTTTCAAGTGAATACTGAAGTTGGCTTGTTTAAGTTGAAAACTGAGTAGAATACCCATATTTCTGAGATACGTATCAAATTCAATACCGGCTCAGAGCCATATTAGGAGCAGTTGAGTTGAACGCACTTTGTGACTTATCCCAATGTGCTGCTTTACATGTACATCATAGCTCAGATACTTGGACATTCTCTTCTCGACCACTGTCATCTGGATGGCCTCCATCTGTGTGACCGGTCTTATCTTGGATGGTCGCCTCTTGGTTGCTTTCATCCCGACGAGTCGCATCTTGCTGGTCCATGTTTGCAGTATCTGTGCAAGATTGGAAGAAAGCAATACAGATCATCAATTTTAATGGAGGCACTGTTAAAGATGGGATAAATTGTGATGAGATAAGGAGATGTTGAAGATAGAGGAATGCAGGAAGAAATGAGGATGGTGAATGGAAATTACAAAGGAGAGGTAGAGCAAGAGAGAGAGAGAGAGAGACGAAGGGAAAAGAGATGGAAAGAGAGAGAGAGAGAGAGAGAGAGAGAAAGATATAAAGGCGATGTGAGTACATTTTATGAATGATTGGTTGTTTGTAACTAGATAGCCGCCACCGTCATCTCTCATTATGTATCTATTATTCATCCTATGACTTCAAATTTGATAAATGTTGGGGTATTTGCGCAAGATGGAAAGAAAACAATATCCCTTGGTTCATCAATTCATGAAATGCCACAAACCAATTAAAGACATTTCAGAAATCAGAACTTTCCCATGAATAGTTCAAATTGTTTGAATTGCTTTCATCGAATAAGTGAAAACTTTCATAAACCAAATCAAGACATTCTTAAAAACAAACCTCTTCCCTAAAAAGTTAAAACTTTATAAAATTGTTATCATTAATTTTGCACAATCGACACTTTAGACTAAATTGGGATATTCTTGAAAATATTCCTCTTCCCTAAATAGTTTAAACCCTTTATTACCTTCACAGACCAATGCGAGACATCTTTTAAAATGAACCACTTCCCTATATAGTTTAACCCCTTCAAATTGCTTTCATAAAACTGTAACAGTACACACCATAGAATAATTTAAGATATTCTTGAGAACATAGCTCTTCCCTATTGAAATAATCTAAAACTGGGAGACATTTTCTCAAACTTATAGTAACAGAAATAAATTGAAAGGAAAACTTGGGAAAGATTTGTAAATATGAAAAAGGTGAACAGCAGGAAAACTACCTGCTTCCTTCTTACCAATCTCTTCCTCCTCCTCCTCCTCCACATCCACCTCGATGACCCTACTCAATCTATTACTGGGACCAGCCGTCAAATTGGTAAGCTGGACAACCTGATGATTTTGATTAGGATCATCATCTATGAAAATCTTCTGCAGGGCTTCGTCCACCCCCTCCAGGGCATCATCGACGGTATCGTAGATGACCACATCCTTGATCTTGGCTTTGTCAATGAGAGTTCTCATGCTGGGCTGTAGAAGTAAATAAAAACAATAATGATAATAATAACACCAACAACAACAACAATAACAACAACAACAACAACAATAATAATAATAATAATAATTAAAACAAAATAACAATAATAACTATAGAGAACTATACGTTCAGGAAAGATGACCAACAGTCCTTTTCAGGACCGTACTACACATACTCAAGAAAGAAAGATTACCGACATTCCTTTTGAGGACTCCCTAATCCTCACCCCTCTCTCATTTGGTGTAACCATAAGCCTACTGTATACATTATGATAATGATAATAATAAGAATGATAATAAAAAATAAAAATAAAAGCTGAATTTATATAGCACCTGTTCCAGAGGATACAAGGCACTGTCCCTTAGTCTAAGGACAAATTAAGAATGGTAGAGGTATGTTTTCAGACGGTTTTTAAGAACTCAATATTATTGAATAATTTTTTCTCAGAAAGGCAGGGCATGAATGTTCCATAGGCGTGGGAAAAAGGATTACAAGGATTTAAAGCCAGCCCGTTTTCAGGATTTGGGAATGAGAAAGGAAGGAGCTGGTGTAGATCAAAGTGAATACTATATGTTGTTCTATGTTGCTAAATGAGTGAGGACATGTATAGAAAAAGTTTGGCTGACTTAAATGTAAAAGTTTGAATAAGTATCTGGTATTGTATTCCCTTTTAACTGGAAGCTAGTGTAGTTCGTGTAACATTGGGGTAGCATGGTACCGTTTCGGCTTTTGACAGAATAGCTGAGCAGCCTTATTCCGGATACGTTGGGAGTCTGCTCTGGTCCTGCTTACTGAAACCCCAGCAAGCATCCACCATCGTCACGACTGCATCAAACATTTCCTTTAAATGTCCCCTTTAGCTTTTTCAAAATAAATATGATCTTAGTACCCATTACGGAGATTATTTCATCCTGAGAGAAACTCATAAGTTAAAGAAAATAAATGGAATAAAAACAAAAGAATACATTTCAATTCTCCAGCATCACTAATACATACCCTCACACCTGCTAACACTAGACTGCTGTTTTTCTTCGAAAACGATTTGAAGATGTCTTTCAGACCCTGGAACAACATGAAAAGAAAGAGGATGAATTGTGAAGTAGAGGCAGACTAAACAAAGGTAAATATTGTAAATGCACACAACGGAGTAGACTGGTATCATCAGGGGGCGGCGATTTCTTTTCATGACCGGGGGGACGAAATGGGAGATTTTCCACTATATACACTAACTTTGAAGGAAATTATGCGAGGGAGCGTAACGACTGAGCGAGAAGATTTTGTTAGTCTAAACTCTGCACCTGTGGGCCCTCCAGAGCCTTAAAAGGATCCGGTAATTTTATCTCAGATTCTGAAACAAAATTCTGGATTTAGCTCATGCTGCAATGATAATTATAAACCTTTAGGTCAGTCAGGAACCCTATGACTTTTACAAGCCGATCGCCTGTCTGATTATCAAGATATTCATGATTGAAATTACAAATTTTGAAAACCGTTTACTAAACGGTTTTCATAACTGACAGTCTATTGGGGAAAACGAGTATAATGGTAAAACCGGTCACTCAAATATTTTTTTCCTTTTTTGAGGCAGTACTTGATCATTTTGAAGCGCAATTTTTGTAGGGCTTGAATATTACACCATATCACAAACACTGATAGCGCGTAGGGCCGTACATCTCAGATTTAACATTGTTAAACGATCCCTTTAAGGACTGTTGCATTCTTCAGTCAGTATTTGCTATACATTTAGTGAGCACCATTTAAAAAAAAAATTGTCACGAGGTCTAATTTGAAAGGAATCACTGGAAAAATGATTGAACGAGACTGAGTGAACAGGTTGGAATTCTGCCCCGCTTGCTGATTCAGAAGTACAATAACCTATTTTCAAACATGTGCAAAAGAACACTGAATATAAGACGGGGTCAATAAGTTGAACTGCTGGTTCTGTAGCAGAAGAACAAAAAATGCTTTTTTAAAACATTTGGAGGAAAAATAGATATTTTGACTATCCATCTGATATATTATGTGCTTGAAATCCTTATGATGGATGTAATGCTTTCGCTTACCTCAATAACCGAGTAATCCATAGATGAAACATTTGAGAAATCTAAGATGGCTGAGGGAGGTTTCTCTTGGATGAGGGCTTTGTCATCCAGGAGGTTCTGTAGCTCACTTACTGCAGGGAACCTCAGACCCCTCTCCATCTGTATAATCACAACGCTCTGATCCACCTCTTTAGACTGGAAACGGGTTGGGCAGAGGGGAAATATGAAATCAATGAAATAAACTGTCATTAATATCTTGTTTCAGAAAGCCACACCAGCACTTAGAGTAATACAGATTGACATAACAATTAATTCCTTTCGTACTTTATTACCAACTACACTAACTCTTCAGTAGTTTCTGAGGACCATGTGAAATAACCTATTTAATCTAACAGTTGTCACCCCCTCTCTGTGAAAGGAATAATTGTCACCAGATTCTCTAATCCACCATCTCACAGTTCATTATGCATATATTCCTAGACACGGATACTCTCATTATGAGGTCCTTTTTCATGCGAAAGCCAAGCACCAAAGCTTGTCCAGGGGTTCAATAGCAGAATAGCATCGTTTTTTTTTCTTCCTGAAAGCATACAACAGATAAAATATATGTCCTGTAAAGTTTGTTTTGTACACACAAAAAAACCATTCCAGATGACTTATTAATTCTTATAATTTGAAAATGACACACACAAAAAAAAGCTAGCTTTTTACTTCGGAATTTACCGTTAAACCTGGTTTTCCGTAAGGATATAGCAGCATAAGGAGGTCAACCAGAATACCGATGATAGTACCATACTCTACTCCAAGCCAGAGTGATACGAAGAAGGTCATCGCCAAGGTGATCAGGTCAGGTTCTGCAAGTAACACCAAATTGATTTAATGACAACGATGATAATTATGATGATGATCAAATAGGTTTGGTTCATTGTATTTTTATTATCCTGTGCCAGGGGCCAAATTGTCCTTGTCTCTTGCTACATTATGTTGCCTTATTCATGTATACATTGCTGGTATGTGTTGATTAGGGTGTTTTCAGATGTTCTTAAAAGAAGTTGTTACACAGCTTCAATAAACAAGACAAAATTACTCCTGGCAGCTATACTAGTGGAATATCTCACTTTGGTGTTTTAAAGAATGACTGCCACATCATTCCAATTTTGATATCAATAGTGAGGACGTCGTGCATTTTATGGTCAGAAATCTAAGAAATCAAGTAAATGTGTATTCCATCTTAAGGATTGCTAGAATGTCTAGTCTCTAGATATATGATGATTAACCCTTTAATAAAAAAAATATGTCAAAATCACTTACTTCTGACCCTCCATAGCTTGACAACGATGTGGTAGTCGATCATGAAGAGGACTGCATAGATAATGACAGCTGCTAGGGAGGCTTTGGGGATGTAGAAGAATACTGGAGTGAGGAAGGCAAGAGAGACGATGACCAGCGTCCCTGTTACAATGCCAGATGCCTGGGTCATGACTCCGCTCTGCTCGTTGATCGCTGACCTGTGACATGAAAGATATTTACCCGGTAGATCTTAACCAACATTTGCTTGGTATGTACTGTACCACATCGTTGAAGAGCAAGGATCTGCTGTACATGCAGCTCAAAAGTGAATACTTTATATGGCTAGAAGATTATACATTGTTAATGAAACATTAGGGGAGTGATAATATATCAGGAACATTTGTAAACCGATAATAACTGCACCTAATGACTGCACATTGTGTAGCAATAATTATTTGCATATTGAAAAATTTCAAGGTGGTTATGTTATGCAAACCACTTGCAAAATTCACAAAACTTTGTGTGCCCGAAAGTTACAGGTTTTACAATATGATGACCACTGTCGCCATCTAATAGGAAATTGATTTGCATAATTATATTAAGAGACTTTACTAACAAGAATATTGTAATATCTTGTCAGAGGCTTTCTTTGTACAATGACTCCATCTTCATGTATTACAAATGGGACATTTTATTGTATGTGTTTAGCACTGTGAGATGAATAGAGATATTTTGCACAGTCATTTCAATTCCTATATCCCACCGCTGCCACCCTTTAATCTACAGTACTATAATTTTCAGTACCATTTATGAATCAATCTAGTATGCAGCTTGATGTAAATTCTAATTCTATTTGTATATTCAAGTCTTTGGAGGTAAATTTGGTGGATCATTTTTGTTTAACTTCGAATCAACTAGTTCATTTGATCCCTAGTAAGTTTGCTGAATGCTTACTCAGTGGTCACTTAGGGCTTATGTCACAAATGTGAAAAGCTCCCTCTCTGCCATTGCCCATGATGAAATAATAATAACAATAATAAAAGGTTTTTACATAGCGCTCATGTCTGTCAAATTTGACACTCCTGGCGCTCCACAATTATTATCCCATGGCTTTCGCATGGCTGCCATTATCATGACATTCTAGCATTTCATGGAATTTATTCCAGCCAGGTACCCATTTACGTCACCTGGACGGAACGTGGCAAAAGTAGATTAATGTCTTGCCAAAGAACATTAGTGCAGCGGCAGGATTCAATCCACATTTTGGTGACGTATCGACTAGTAAACCATGGCACCTCCACATTTTGATTATTTTTTTGTTGGTAATATTAGTTTCACTATGGTCTCAACTCTGCCATGACAATAAAGACACCTATACCTGATCAATCACACTGCCAGACTGTCTCAAAACCAACTGCTTCTTGGTCATTCAGGGTCATGTTATTTCTATTCAGCCTGATGTGGGTATTGCTGGTGCAATTGGGGTATAAACCATCTCTCATTAATGATGGAGATGATAAGGATTCAGTAAATTGTTATATCAATGATTATAATATGATTTCTTACCTTGAGAAACTGCCTGTAATGGGGTATCCTGAGATAAACGATGAACCAATATTACATGCCCCTGCAAAAACAAGACGGAATAAACTGAAATTATTTTTCATTTGTATTTAATAAAAAGACAATTCCTATAAATCATAAAATGAAAAAGATGCAAAGATTCAAAGATAAAGTTGAGGCAAATGTTTATCAATTTCACAGTCAAACAATGTTTTTTATTATACTAATGACAACTTACCTATAGCTATCAGCTCTTGGTTTGTATCTACACGGTAGCCATTCTTACGAGCTGTAAACATACAGAAATCACGATAGGTTTTAATATCAAGAATATACATACCATCAACGTGTGTATTACAAGGCACATATCATTTCATTGCGAATAACTGAAGCTAAATTAAAAAAAATTAAATAACAAACGAATCTTATAGACTAATAATCAAATGAAAGCAAGAAACAAAGCTAAATACACAAAATAATTATACAAGAAACAAGCAGGATATTAACTGCAAGTGGGATTCTTAAAACCATACAAATTAAACTGCAATGAAATGGTCATTGACTACATATTGGTAGTTGTTTTTAAAGACATTTTCAACATGTTGTCTGCACTTTGAAGAGTATTCATTCTGTGCAATCTCATGTGACAATTATACATACTTCTACAAAATATAAAAATGAATATGTGCAATAGGTGAATTATTAGTAGAAATTAGAGTTAGACTGCAGTGAGAGGGGACTAGTAATAAAGTATTCATAAAAAAATAAAAGCATATTTAGTTATTAAGGTGAAATGCGATAATATAAATTAGTAAGATCAATAGCTGCACTTTAAATCATATTCTGTTCAGCACTGTCAAAAGACTGTCAATATTGTCGGCTTGTGAACCCTTTCAAATCCATTCCTTATTCACATCATAATAAAGGCTAATGTATGGTATAACAAGCCTGAACAATTAATGAGCATTATAACAACCTCTTCATACTCCGATACTAAACGTGCATTTGAATAAAATATGACATTTTGTTTTAAACATTTTTTTTTAAAGACAAAACAGTACCATGATAATTATAATGATAATAATCATAATAATAATGATAATTATAATGATAATAATCATAATAATAATGATAATTATAATGATAATAATTATAAATTGTCTTGATGATCAAGTGTATAGCCTCATCAGTATTAATATTGTTTTCCTTGAGGGCCCTGCAATCATATCATTACCCCGGCTTTAGTACTAAAAGCTATTAAAATCACTGAGCATTTATTTTACCATGCACAGTTTTTCAATAAGAATAATTGTGAATACCTATGTCAAAGACATTAATTGCTCATGTGGTAATATTCAGGAAAGCACTTACCAAAGCCCTTGACAATAGCTATATTTTCCAGAAAGCCCAGCATGGGTATGATTATAAGACCTATATTTAAGTGCTGGTGATGGTTTAATGCAACAGAGGAAAAACATAAATACAAAGGGTTAGTACAAAAACCCACATGCAGTTAACTTAAGGGAGAAGTTTACCCTGAAAATTAGCTGGTATCAATAAAAGCAGGAAGACAAGAGAAACAAATCAGTTGGTGTTTGAATGTAGTAGAGCTACTATTTAAGAAAGTGTTCTAACTCGCTGAGGTTACAGCAATGAAATTTGAACACAACTGCACCATACAACAATTAATGATAAAATTAATCTTTTAGACTACCTCCATTAGCTCAAGAGGCAAAAATGAGGTTGCTCTACAGCTTCAAAATGCATATTAGAGAGTTGCATACAAACAAACAATAACTAAAAACAAACAGTTATTTTTCAGTATGTTAAATGATCTCATACATATTTTCTTTGTGTACTCACTGCACTATGCCAAGAGCTGTAAATATCTTTTCATGCTTTTGAATAGTGAAAAAATAGCATCCAATGAGTTATTGCATCTCAAGTATAGTTATTTATTTGTTTCTATCTGCACTACATAGTACATATGCATAAAGGCAGTTAGACAAATTAGTAATGATATTTTTAGACAAATATTTTCACTCATTTGTTGTGCGTTTTGCAAACTTTGATGTCCTATATTTTAATAAGAAGTTACGTCTTTATGTCAAATCATTTCAAACAAAAGTGATCATATGTGGGAGTGAGAATGGGAAATTGTGCATTTCATTTTCGACTTGCACATAAACCTATAAAAGTAAAGATGTAAAGATAAAACTAAATAATTTTGACTGAAACATTTAGATAGTTAGTCTACAATGGAAAGCCTAGAAGAGTTTATTAGTCTGGTGATAAATATCTACCATCTAACTATCTAACTAATATCAAGAAGAAAAAAAAAACAGAACCAAGTTATCTAAACGTCACGAATATGGAGTTTTTTCACTCGACATTAACCGATGTACAACCACTGTATGTTCATATCACAGTTCAGAAAAAAAATTATGAGTTGAAACTCAACATATTTTCTCATGTCATATATTTTATTAAAAAGAAAATCAACTCTAGTCCAGCATGACTAAAATATTGAGGTTTTATGAAGCATCTATCTTACCTTGATGATGTTGTCTGCCCCAAAGTTTGGCAGAGACAGGGGCGGGAGACCATCTGTGACATTACCCGTGATGGTAAAGACCTCCTCCATGCCATTCTCATGAAGCCCGTACGTTATACCTGCTGCTACAACGACGATAACGGCATTGCGAGCTAAAGGAAAGGAAGATGAAGGAGAAGAGGAAGGAGAAGATTTAAAGGAGAAGATTTAAAGTTTACTATTATTTTTCATATTTTACACATCACTCTTTGAATCCCCCCTCAAGTATTCTATCATGATAACCCCCTCGACCTTTTCTTCTCCATCTTGTTGTTGTTGGCGTGTTGTTGTTGGCCTTCTCCTCCTCCTCCCCTTCTTCTTCTTGTAATTCATCTTCTTCTTCTTCTCATTTTGCTTCTTCTTCTTCTTCTTCTTCTTCTTCTTCTTCTTCTTCTTTAAAGCAACATCTTCAAGGGTTGATTTTACTTGATTGTCATTAATATTTTTTCTTGTAAATGGAATGAATAAAGTTATAATTGTCAGAGAAAATAAAGATGCAGTTTGTCAACTACTGTCCTTAAGTATACATCGATTAACTCAAGTTTGGCTTGAGTGATTATATGCAGCGTCTCACAAAGACAGTCAATAATAAGTTTTCTTATCTGAACTATTGTGATTATAATACAGCTAAACACTCACCAGTTCCAAACACCCATAAAAACTTCCAGATAATCTTTTTTCTCAATGGGGGCTTCTTTCCCAACTTTTCTATTTTTTGCTGCGCTATATTCTTCATGAACTAAAGAGAATAAGGAAAATGGATAAAGAAAAACATGTTCAATATATGATATCGGATATGTGATCCATAAGGTACTCATACTATCTGATATCCACATTTAGTGCAATCATTTCAACAGCATTTTTGTCAATTTAATTATCTCAACTTTTCCTCACAAAAAATAACAATTAAGTATAGTTGTGTAAGCAAACAAAAACACAGTTGAGAATCTGAAAGTATTAGAGTGGTTTAAAAAGAATAGCAATAGACACAGCATATTTCCAAGAATGTTGACACTATGAAACTAATTCAACTTAATATCACATGAAGGCAAATCATTCACTAAACTAATTTAATTTTTCCAACACTGGATCTAAAAAGTCCCCTTCCAGCATTGATGCTAGATAGAATTTAGACATCATAAAACTTGTTTGAAGCAATAAGCAATTCTGTAATTTAAAAAACATTAATTACGAAATGTGTATTAGTGGGACAAAAACTTTGATACACTATTTTTTAAAAGCAAAATACCCATTCTGTAAAGATAACTCATTCACACTATTAATCTATGTTTTTTTTTTCTTCCAACAGCAGTGCTACCATCGTTCACATCGTAAAAAACCTTGTTATTCTTCATCTACAATCTTACCCTCATTAATGCCAGTGCAACAATGCAGCTCAATCCAAGAGTGAGGTCTTGCCACCTGGGGCAACAACAAAAGAGAGAGAGAGAGAGAAAACGAAAATGGGAAGATTATAATCAGCTACCAGGAAGGTGAATGTTCTTATCTAAAGCCATGATGCAAGCGAAGCACCGATGACCACTAATATTAATTTAATAATGATATTAATATTACGATATTCATTTGTATTATTTCATAATAGTGGTAATGATGGTGGTGATGCTGCTGCTACTACTACTACTACTACTACTACTCCTACTACTAAACTACTACTACATTACTACTACTACTTCTACTAATGATAAACTGCGTTTACATAATGCATGTCAATTTACAGTCCTGGTATATGCACTGTTGGCAATTCAAACTAGACTACAACTACATATAGTTATAAACAAATGAGCCTATGTCTATTTTGTAATGTGTTAACTCTCGTACATACATGTACATCTTGTAGCCTACATTGTTAGAGACACACCCACTTGTACTAGTAAACAAACAAACGCTGTATGAATATTAACAAGGTTAATAAAACAAATCACATTAGGGAAAATGTGAATGATATTATGATAATCTCTGTAGGCAATTATCGTAGATCAAATATAATCTGTTCACTTATCATCAACTTTAATGGTATTTTCTAGTATTGACCTTTGATCATTCAATAATTTAGGACAGAGTTCACCTGATAAAGAAATATATATAGAGCTGCATGGTTTCATTTATTGTATTTGATCTAAAGCAATGATCTGAATTCTGACTTTTTTACAACCATATATAAAAAATAGATTTGAGATCAATTACAGAATATATGATGTAATTAAAAGCTTTAAATATATTGCTCCATTTTCCACATGAGGATGAATATTAGTTTTTTTTCTTTCTACATGTGGTTTTATTTAAAAAAAATCTTATTCTCCTAACTAAGTATGAGGCAATTTGAAAATGTGAAATTTTATTAGCACGAACTGTACCTTTAACGTATGCAAAAAGGAAGCAATATCTTTATCACAGTCTATTATTCCTTACAGCCTGACTATACTCATGCAGCAAATATTGACTTTTATTTGTTACAGATGGTGTTTGAGCTTTACACTGTGATTTGCTCTTAATTACCTGATAAAGATAACCAACAAGAGCTGTCTATCTGTATATATTTGCTAACTTCCCAGGCCAGCGACAGCAATGCTTTGATGATATTAGATATGTACATAAAACGTCTACTATGAGATATGAAAATGTGACACACTCTTCACAAAAGTGTAAAATACAGCAGGGAGATTGAAGGGGTTTTACCCAAATTAATTCATAACTTATTATTTGATGAATGTGCAATATCGAGCTTAAACACTAATTACTCTCCCTCCTTTGTAATATCTACCTCTGTAATGGCAATAGTACAGTTATAAACATTCGTTTTACTCAATTAAAAAGTGCAATATAAAAAACTGAATTGATGAACGAAACAAAATAGACTATGAGGAATAGGAAAAAGAAAAAAAAAGCATTAACGGACATGAAAATATACCTTTTTTAAAGAATGAAAGTAACAGTAATCAACGAATAGAGAACAATGTAATCAGACAAACAAACAAACAAAAATTAAAAAAATTATGGTAAATATTTTTAAAAAGATGATAGGAGGTAAAACGAAGGAGGCCACATAAATAAAGAGAGGAAAAGGGACTCCAAAGAAACCAACAGGCCTTGTTAGAAAATGGGGTGATATAATGCGTTACAAAAACTTCCACAACACGGTTAGCACATTACAGCAATGACCCCGAATATCCACAGATCTTCCGAACATGAAGAGGTCCTACTTTGTACATTTTTGAAATAATCACTCCTACAGCGATGGAAGTGCTATATAAATTGCCTTTGTTTCCCCTTTTCAAAGAATACTTCCACCTGTGTATCATGGAGTGCACTGAATGTGCATGAATGCATAATGATTACATAACTTTCATGAGAACGTATCCAGTATTTCGTCTCCGTGTATTTCAAAATTTGTTCTGCAATGACCTTTATCTGCTCATGCTCAGACTACAACCGTGAACTGGCTTATTCAAAATAACTTTACTAATTATGTGAACATGGCTTGCATTACCTTGTTTCAGTGATATGCCTGAATGTTTCGATGAGGTCATGGAAAAACGTCTCCGCTGGGAATTTGATGCCCAGAATGGTTTTTACTTGACTCATCGCTATGGTGATAGCCGATGCAGAGGTGAAACCTGCTATTACCACTGCAGATATGTAGTTGGCTATAAAACCTGTGGAAAACAAAATTGATAAAGAAATATGAAATGTATGCATCTGTACAATTTGATGATACATAAAGTTTTTGTATTTTATAAGTTCAGAAGGAGGTATTGCCTGAATGTTATGAGGAAGGTTCTTATATGACATCTCTACCCTTTATTTAATAAAATGTCTACAGTAACAGAAAATATCTATTGAAGAACGTTAATCTAAGCAATAGACCAGCTCACGGTTAGTACATAACTGCAATGACCCCCAAATATCCACAGATCTTCAAAACATAAATAGGGCTCACTTTGTACATTTTGAAATAGTCACTCCTACAGCGATGGAGGTGCTATATAAATAGCCTTTGTTTCCCCTTTCAAAGAATACTTCCACCTGTGTATCATGGAGTGCACTGAATGTGCATGAATAATAATGATTACATAATTTTTATGAGCACGTATCCAGTATTTCGTCTCCGTGTATTTCAAAATTTGTTCTGCAATGACCTTTATCTGCTCATGCTCAGACTGCAACCGTGAACTGGCTTATTAAAAAGATTATTTATAATCCTTTCATAAATTAAAAACAAACATGAGCTCACGAAAAAATTAAAGGGAAGGTTTCAGTTCCCAATTGATGAATGCCAACGAACAAAACCAGGAACACATCTCATAACAACAAATTCGATTATAAAATGTAAAAAAACTCATAACTGTAAATAATTAAGATTAATGGGTTATACTGCAGTCACACTGCCCCCCTCCCCGACTTCAAACAGACTGATTCGTTACCATTCATGGCAATGTAATGATTTTTGTCAGTCTATTGTCAGTCTCATGTTAGTTTCCTTTGTGTGAATGGGTTACTACATGTAATTAATTTAATCAGACAAAACGAAAGCACATCTCTCCAAACACAGATACATGTTTAGAATGTACTTTGATCAAGGGGATTCATTGTTCTTCAAAGTGTACTAAAAATGCCAATAATGCTTAATAATGGCTCTCACTTGAATGTATATGACCCATATAAATCTTGCATTTGTTATTGATAACTAGTTTTATGTAACAGGGCCCAGTTATATACTGAGGTTTCGTGCCTCGATTTGTAAAAAACAAACAAACCAAACAATGTTTTATACGTCATTTGATTAGCTAGGATAATATAACAAAAACTTTCTCAAAATTAATTGACACTCTCCAAGTCCATGTGTAAATCTCAATTTGATATGAGCTGTAAATTCTGAAGTATTATAATTCAAGTGTCAAGTTCTCATTCAATTCTAATGATCATTCATTTGGAGCCACAACTCTCCTCAGTTCACACAAAGTTAATGCCCTCCTCCAAAAATTCAAAGAGTCAAAATTATTTTTAACCATTGCTGAAGTCCCTCAGAACTCACCTAGATGTAGGATCCCGAAGACGAGTTGAACGATTCCACAGCAGAATGCCAACAGTATGGCATAGGTTGGATCGTTCAATTCTTCGTCTCCTGGGATGGGTGTTCCATACTGTGCCACTAGGAGGGACATGATGGCTGTGGGGCCAACCGAGATATCTTTGGACATCCCAAAGAGAGCGTACATGAACCCACCCATAATGGCTGCATAGAGTCCATACTATTGAGGGCAAATCAGAAGAATAGATATATATGTCTTAATTGCAGATTACTGAAACTTTCAATTACAATATATAATTTCTGGGAGTTATCCTCCCTATTTCACAAATCCTGTAGAAGGTCTAATTAAACGTGTTTATTATTATCAATGGAAAACATATATCTACATTTAGATACAGATAGCCAGAAAATGGATAACAAATATTCAAATCAATGTACCAGCAATACACTCACTGTTCTAGACCAGTTATTTAGGAGGCTCAGTTAACAGTAAACCCCCAATGACTATGACGTGACTGGCCATAATTAAAATCATGGAGTTGACACTCACTCACAAATCACTTCTCAGCAAAGCCTTTATTATCACCATATGTCTGAAGATACTACGGTTAGACCCATTGGTTACCAAGCAATTACATAATTGACTGGCCTTCAACATCGGAAGGGACAGAGACCAACCCCTGAGGAAAGCGATGCCAAACCATTAAAGACCAGTCCTTGAGGATGTAAAGTGAAACCCACATTTCACTAAGAGATTACATCATTAACTGTTTTTCAGCAGTAACAGTGACACTGACTTGTCTCAGAGGCCGGAAGCCTTGTAATATCATAGACTTTCAGTAAGTTCAATGCAAAAACATTTACTGTCTTTGATCCAGCAATGGAGGTGCCAATGACTTACCTCTGTCATCTTTGAAGGCTTCCATGGCGAGCAAGGTTTGATGTTTTAACATGTATTCTTTTCGACAGAATTAGTTGGCCCTGAAAAAGGCCCACTCATGTTCTATCAGGATAGGTCGTACGTATTCTGGATGAGTGTGTATGGTTAGATAGTAATAATAGGGGGTCCTTGTATTACCCTGGCTTTAGCACGGGTGCCATTCCGGCGCTCTAGCATATCAAGGAATTGATTCCTGCCAGGTACCCATTTACATCACCTGGGTTGAGTGTGGCACATGTAGATAAATGTCTTGTCAAAGGACATTAGTGCCGCGGCAGGACTCGAACCGCGGACCTGGTGATTGACAGTCCGGTGACATATCCACTCATCCACGACACCTCTAGGGTTTATATTTATTAACAAAAAGGCTTACCTCCGATGGAAGCTTGGCGATACCGGCATAGGCCAGCCCTTGAGGCAGCACCGTAAGACCCACCGTCAGTCCAGCGATGATATCATTGACTCCTTTGTAGATGCGGTACTTTGGCAGCCACATGGAGATGGGGAAGCGCTCCTTCCATTTCTCCTTGGAGCAGTAGTTCTTGACCTTGGATTTCAATCTCCTCGCCACCTCCTTTCTCTGACGACTTGAGCTCATGGTGATGGGTGTTTGAGAGTTGTGTAGGGGGTTATCACAAGTTCTTGCTCCTAGGTGAAATCATCTAAACAGAATCATTTGAAGAATTCATTTGAATTGACTGCAACTTCTAGGTCAATATTTTAAAGAAAATCTTCTTTGCTCAATTCGTTGAAATTGGGATCTTTCACTTCCAAATCCATATTTTTATGTACTTCCCACCCCTCCCTCGTGGTTTAAAACCAAACTTTGGAGATTTAATTAGAGACATTCTTAAGAAATAAAATAAATGAAATGCAAATGATATTTTTGAAATCAGTATGATGATGATCTCATATACGTATAGTTTTGCCGGGAGCAAAATATACATGTACATGATTATATATGCCATATATTTTCATGTTTAGCATTTAAATTCTGATTCATGATTTTGAATTTGCAGTTGTCACATAATGGTAATTCATTGACACCCCCTCCCCAAGAAGGCTTAAAGATCAGAGCCACATGCATTAATTATTTTGTCAATTGAAGTAACTGCCTAATTGCTGGCAGCCAACAAATTAATGTACACCACCCACTATTCCTGCAATATACACAACTAAATACGACTTTGTAGATAAGCTAATTTCAATAAAGGATTGATAACATCTTGGAAGTATTATATTATGTAAATAATATATAATGTAGCCTATTTGCTTACATATAATGTCAAATATATACCTGTATGTGTTCTTTTAATAAAAGCTTGACCTTAAATGGCGATTCGTTTCCTCCATACAGACAAAACTACTTTATAGGCTATTGCTTTATAGAAGCTTACACATTGTACATTAATATATTGTTAACAAGGGTGTTCAAAGTACAGATTGTAAAATAATGTCGGTACAAAAGGAGCTGGTACCAGGTGCTCTCCTTGGAAAGGAAATGCCCTGAGTTTAATAGTCAGACAAACAGGTACCAAATTACTCTCGGGAAAATTTCCACGTGCAGGCAGTCATGTTATAAAATCTCAAGTACTGAACAGTAAGAAAGTTTCATTCAAAAGTCTGGGAGAAAAAACAAAACATGCGTTTAATATTCATCTGACCATTATTTTTTAATTCAGCTTCTCACTAAAGTCTTAATGGAAAATGATACCTTCATAGCAAAAAAAGCTAAACAGAAAGAAGAAAAATTCAGGGTTAGCAGAATGGTGGAATTTTGAGAGAAATCAGACAAAAACTCACAAAGTTATGAATTTTTAAAAGCTGTACTTACTATACGTATGGGAATTTCAAATTGGTTGAATAGGTGATGTAAATGATATAGTGCAGACAATCCTTTTCTCCAACACATTGCTTTCAGAGTCGAAGCAAAATATGAAAGAAAGATAATGGTAAAGGTTTGAAATAATAACCCCCCCCCCCCCGAAAAAAAAAAAATATATATATAGGGCGCAATCATGATTGTGTATCGTTAGAGAACAGTCCAATCCCCACTATTTTATCTTCGCACATGCAAATACCATTCATAAAGATCATATCTGCACAGGTCAATTAAATCATACACATAGAGTCATTAAATTACAGGATTAGGGTCATGATTATATTACCTATTACACAATAACATCAGTTTCCTTTATAGTTGCGGGTAGGTCCTGAATATTGCATTATATTCTTTCTCTTTCCACACAGACATGAACAACATGGCAGATGAAGATAACATAATAATTCAACCAAACACTGGCCATTATTTTTTAAATATGAATGGTAAAATCAGAAAGACTTTTGCTGGCATATAAAATGTTTGAATTGGTGGTAATTTTGTTTAATTTTAAATTTGATGTATTAAAACCAAATAAAGACAATTAGTGCCTGTCACATAAACACAGTGCCTCGTTTGAATGTTATAAAAGGACAACTTCCTACAAAGCACTTTGCATAATACTATCAAAGGATAGAGTTATTTACTTTAATATAATTTAGAATTAATTCCCTTTCATGCATAATGAACTAAGCTTTTAAAAAGAGGTGGCTTAACAAGGTAATTATGTTTTGGAAAGACTAAAATAAATGGGTCAAGGTAAAAAAATATCGCTGCCCGATCGCAGAAAATACACTTTTAATTTCCATCCATTCGAAATATACCTCCTCAATGTTAATAAAAAAAAAACACGTCTTACCTTACAATATATGTTCTCCTTTTCTAAATGATGTCGTTATAATAATCCCCAACGCAAAGTCTGATTTAAGGTTGAAATATATTTTACATTCACACAAGGAGCCCGATCAAAAGTTCATTTATCCCCGGCACTTATCGACTGTGTGTATTTATAAGTACCTTGTATCAGCGGCGCTTCTTCGTTGGTCTCAGCTTGCCAAGCGTGTTCTAACTTCTGTTGAGAATGGTACGCATAATCGTCTAGCCCCGTACATGAATAAGCAAGGTGGCGCACTTGCTTGGCTTGCGGCATGCGAGAAGGTGACAGGTGGTAGAAAATGCGAAAAGCTGTATAGCTGGCGCTACCGTAATTCAGGTGCATTTAATACCGGATCATGACTTGTTTGTGTGTGTGTATATATATTTTTTATTGAAAGTTAAAAACAGATACTTGAAGCAGGATTATGACTTGGCTGATGCATTTTGTAGAACTGAATCAATGGTATACCGTTCGTGGAAACATTTTAACAAACTATAATGAAAAAAAATAAAAAAGAACAGGGCTTTCAGGCAAGGTTGTCGATTTGTATCCTCGGTTGGGGGGGGGGGGGGGGGTGATAGGTGCCAAAATATTTTCGGCAATGGATCAAAGCAACCAAGAGGTAGAGGCGTGTGGCAGATTGCACCCCTCCCTTCCAAGTTATTTACTTTTTCAAGTCACCCTCAATAAAGATAACATTTTAGAGAATATGGGACCCATGTGAGTCCAACATGGGCTTGCTACCTGGGTTATTATCCTCTCAAGCATAAAGGCAGGATTTTAATTTAGGAGGGGGCAGTAGTGAGCACCTCCTAGGGGGTGGGTGCAGGGAGGGAAAGTTTCCCCCTTCCCGCTCGAAGCGCGGAAGCACTGACGTTTCATTAAATTATTAAAGAAAGAAGACGATTCGTTGTACCAATCTCGACTCTTAATCCTTGTCTGAATTCAGTCCCCCCCCCCCTCCCTCCCGCGCGAAGCGCGGAAGCTTTGACATTTCATTAAATTATTAGAGAAAGAAGACGATTCGTTGTACCATTCTCGACTCTTAATCCTTGCTGAATGCAGTTCCCCCCCTTCCCGCGCAAAGCGCGGAAGCTTTGAAGTTTCATTAAATTATTAGAGAAATAAGACGATTCGTTGTACCATTCTCGACTCTTAATCCTTGCTGAATTCAGTCCCCCCCCCCCCCCTTTCCGCGCGAAGCGCGGAAGCTTTGACCCTTTCATTAAATTATTAGAGAATGAAGACGATTCGTTGTACCGTTCTCGACTCTTAATCCTTTTTCTTCCTACGTCATCTTCCTATCCTCTTTTTCTCTCTTCTTTTGGGGGGGAGGGGGGGGGGGGCGACCGCCCCCACCACCCCCTCGCTACGCGCCTGTTTCCTCTCTGTCTCTCATTATCTCTCTCTCCCACTCTCTTCTGCTTTTTTTGCACTTTTGCGTTTCGCGCTTAACATTTACTAAGCTCGTTACTTTTTAACGCTGCGGCTTTGCATTTGGCGCACTGCATTTCTATGATGCTGTTGATTGAATAAATTGAATAAATTCATCAATTCCTGATGAAGCCGTATGAGCGAGAATTAAATTTATACTTGTCTCATACTCGGTCGTATCATTTACTTCGTTTTCTATTTATATATGTATGTATTATAAAAAATGAGATAGCAAAATGTGTATATTGATAGTCATCTTGCGAGTAATAACCATTAACTACTTAACTACTTTCATCGGGCTCTCATCGTTAATTTTTTTTTTTTTTTTTTTTTTTGATGGTGAATTATTGGGGGGATGATTGTACATGCCATCCCCCACCTGAAATATTGGGGGGGGGGGGATATATCCCCCATCTCCCCCCCCCCCCCCAGGCGCGGATCCAGGATTTCTTAGGGGAGGGGGCCCAACTTTTTTTTTTTTTTTTGCTCCCGAAAATTTGAAAATCGCGCCGGCCGAAAATTCGCTTAGTGTGGGGGGGGGGGGGGGGGGGGGGGGGGGGGGGGGGGGGGGGGGGGTGAGGGGGGTTTTTTTTTTTTTTTTGATCCTCAAAAAAAATTTCAATTTGCACCACCCCCCCCCCCCCCCCCGACCCCCCCCCTTGAGCGCCAGGGGGGGGCCCAACCCCCCAAAAAGGTTAAAAAATCACGTGATTTTACATGATTTTTTTCTCAAGGGTGGGGGGGGGGGACCGGGCCCCCCCCCCCCCCCCCCCCCCCCCCCCCCTGATCCTGGACATCCGCCACTGCCCTCCCCCCCCCCCCCGGGGATCGACACCCATGCTTTCAGGGCCAATTCTCACAAGCATATGCTGGTCTCTCCATTTTCCATACTGTATTTTGTAATGTAACGAGTCAATCAATAAGGACGCAGGATTCATTTGTTTCCATTTGGTTCCATCTTTATTGATTACATTCACTGGCGTACTGGTGGGGGGGGGGGGGGGCAAAGCGCCCCCAATAAAATTAAACCATGACTTATTTTCTCAATTTTTATCATCCTACCTCTACCACCCTACCTCTAACACCACCTACTCTACTGCATCCTTCTTCTCAACCCCACTCCACCCACTCTACCCCACCCTACCCTATACCACCCACAATCGACCTCTTTTACCACCCTACTCTACCACCACCGTACCTCTACTACCATTCTACCTCTACCACCGTCCTACCTCTCCTAACTCTACCCCACCCTACCCCTACTACCCCACCATCCTACCTCTACTACCAACCTACCTTTACTACCATCATATACATGTATCTACTACCCCTACCTCTGCTACCTCTCCTACCCCCTACCTCTACTGTCTCTCCTACCTCTCCTACTTCCTCCCTCTACCACCACCTTTCCTCTACCCCTATCCTACATTTTCTACCACCCTACCACCACTACCTTACTACCACCCTACCTCTACTTACACCCTACCTCTAATACAATCTCACCACCTTCCCCACCTCCACCACCACCCCACATCCACCACTACCCCACCTCCACCACGATTCTCCCTCTAATACCATATCTAGAACCATATGTCCTCTAGAGCCATTTCTTTTTCTTTCAGGGTAAATAAAAAAAAAATCTCCATATATATTTCCCTCCACAGGGATTTTATTGATTTTCATTTGAAACAAATTAACAAATATATATATTCAAGGTAATTTACATTTATAACATAAATAAATTGGCTTCTCAAGATACAAGTATTGTTGAACTGCTGAGTTAACAGAAAAACTAATAAATCTTCAATAATTAAATTCTGATATTCATGGAAAGAAAAAAAAAAACATTCATGTAAACAAATTCCTGTATTGAAACCATTTTCTTGTGAATTTATTATTCCTACAATTTGAATTTGCAATATACTTTTCGTTTTTTTAAGTAATTTATAATCGAAACTCTAATATTATCAAAATCGGGCAAATGTTTCTTTATTGCAAGTATACACCATCCGTCGCACCACAATCTATATACAATTCAATGCATAATTATTTGAACCTCTTAAACCAAATAATTTATCTTGTAATGAAAATGTTAATTTATTTTCCGGTTCCAGCATAAATCCAGTGCTCCAACCTATCCCAAATATGTTCAACATGCGTACAATCACATAGCAGATGAATAAACTGTTTCAATCTGTTCATACAAAATGTACATTCTTTTCTTGGGACTAAATTCATTTTAAACAGTAGATCGTTTCGTATATAATATGCGTTGCAAAACTTTAAACTGAAACTGTTAGTGAGCACATTTTTTTTGGGCCCTCGAAAATTTGAAATTTGAACGCCCCCTCCCCCCCCCCCTTGAGCGCCATGTCTTTTGTCCTATGTCTAGCTATGCCTTTAAAAAAAAAAATGCATTTATTTGTTTATTCCTTTTTCATATATTTTCTTATTGATCAGCATTATTTAGGGGGGTATATACCAAATATACAAACAAAAGTTACTAACTTAATGTTCAATACAAATTTTCAGTGCATGTAATGGGTAATCGAGTTTTCGGAATATCTTTGAAATTAGGCATTTGTCTATTAAAGTCTAGCCCCCCCCCATGTGTATCAGGGAATACATTTAAAATATCATTATAATTCTCTGTCAGTCAGTCAGTGCTTTCTTTTTCTTTTAATCTATTCTCTCCAATATATGTCCCTCCCCCTCTTTAAGTCTTCTTTACTCTCCTCTTTTATCTATTCTCCATTACTTCCTTTCCATCTTTACTTTTCTCCTTGATCCCCTCCCTTCTCTCTAAATGTTTCATCTATTCGCTATTTCTTTCTTTCAACTTTACTTCCCCCCCCCCCCTTGAACCTTTCTCTTTCTCTCGATCTCTTCTACCCCTCTCTCACACATTACCCTCTATCCCCGTTCTTCACGCTTCTCTCTCTCTCTCTTTCTCTTTACTCTACCTCTCATCCCCTCTATCTGTCTGTCTGTCTGTCTCTCTCTCTATCTCTTCTCTCTTGGTACATTTATGTTTATCAATGTTTAACATGGACAAATTAATATAAAATATGCATAGAGGTATGAACAGACTCAAATAATCAAGCATTTCACCTTGTCAGCTATTATAAACACATTTGTACATTTATCAACATTGAACTGCATGGAACAAAATCATATTTGTTCTTGGAAATTTTAGATGAGACTAACAACAAAATGCATGTTAAATAAGATATATGTCAAATAGGAGCAAGAAATACAAATGAACTTTGAAGTGTAGAGTAATTTTAAACGAGGGACATTGTTTGAGCTACCTTATATGTTAAAGGTATAGACCAGTTTTGGAAAGCTCTTATTACCAATCATGTTTTGACTTATACGTGATGATACAAATTTTGCAGGGAAACATATATTAGTAAAGTATTGATCTATCCGGACCGGATAGATACTGCGCATGTGTTGCATAGTCCCATATACATCTTTCTATGTACAGTGCTTGTAACTTTACCAAGACTGGGCCAAATTTCTGATCGTTTCTTTCACAATGCAATCGCATGACCAGAACTGGTCTTTACCTTAAATACATACTAGCAATTTGATGATGCCATTTTCTAAACAGTTTACTAGTAATGTGAAGTAGAAGTGGTCAAGGTAGAAAAAAATAAACAAAAATAGAAACTTGTCTGGTCGGTGCACTTGCTTAGAGAATTATATTTACCAAAATAAATAACTGTGAGAGGTATCAAAGTATACCATACTTTTTTGACAGTCCATTCATACAAGCTTAATAACAATTTTCATTTTTAGGCATTTTTCTCTTCTTTTTTTTGGATTTTAACTTTATCCACTCAGGATGCTATGGTAGACCAGAGGGGTGTTTCACAAAGAATAAGATCAACTTAAGTTGGACTTAACTATGGCAGGCCATTCATGCCAGTGGTTGCTCTCACCATATAATCTTTAGACAATATTTTTCCTGCAATAATTAATTCTCAAAAGATGTAAATTCTGTAGATTTGTGGATATGATTTGTACATGCCAGTAAATGGTGAAAGCATACAGACAGTGGCATGAATGGCCTGCCATAGTTAAGGCCAACTTAAAGTTGATCTTAGCCTTTGTGAAACACCTCCCCTCCCCCTCCCCCCCCCCCAAAGAATAGTATACCTTAATCTAGTTTCCCCACTCAAGAATGATCACAACCACACCCAAACATGGCCTTTTGAATAGATTGATTTACTATTTCCACCTCAACCCCCCCCCCCCCCCCCCGCCAAAAAAAGAAAAAAAAAAGAAGAAGATTTAACAGTCTTCCAAGTCAAGTTTAATGCCACACACATCTGCAGCTGGCCTGGTAGGGTTATATATCAGGTGGTGTTATTGTTACGAATATGCAAAGGAGATGTTGATTGATATGCTAATTCCAAGATGTGGCCGACCCAACATTATGTTGAAGTTTTGTCCCAAATATTACATATCAGGGCGAGATTAAATTTCTATCCAAAGGATCTCTTGCATGAATACATTTACATTATTTACATTTTTACATGTGTTCAGATAATTTAATATTACAACCCCTCACCCCTCAACAAAACAAAGATAGTTTTTTAGATACATCTAAAGTTTTTGGATTAAAACTTAGTCTTTCAATCAGCTATTACATATCTTGATGAGATTAAGTTTATATCCACAGGATCTTTTAGATTTTTCACATGTTTTCAGATTATAATAGTGCTCCCAAATAAAAGAAAACAGATCATTAAGCTTTCTGATTTAACCCTCTATTTTTTATGGATTAAAACTCTAAATTGCCACATTGTTTGGAGTATGTGTGCCAATAAAGATTGTGGCCCGAATTCATAAAGGAGGTATGTCGATAAACCTCGACAAACAAACCTCCTTTGTGAATTCAAGCCTGTATGTTTCACAAACATATGTCAGTCCATTGTTTGTCTACCACCGCAGGCAAAGAGTTAACATATCTCTCCGACAATGCATGTACAGCAAGATTTCTTTCCAAAAATGGTGAATGCAATGCTTCATCGTCCTTTTCTACATCTCTGTCGTTCAACAGCAAGTTCACATTTTCAAAAAAATATCTGTTCTCATCATGAAATGGCGCTATTCTTTTAATCTCTGCAAAGACCTCGCTAACCCTGCCGGTGCCATGGCAAGGGGCGTCTTCTCCTCCTGAAAAAGAAGAAGGAGAACAAATCAATTAGAAATCAAATAGCTCTGAAAATTCATGCATATTGAAAATTCACAACTTGCATTTGGAAATAAGTGAGCTTTAACTTAAGTCTAGGAATATTTCCAATCTCATGCTACGAGATATAATGCAAATTAATTTTCCATTGCTCCTTCTCATTCAACCCGCCCTCCCCCCCCCCCCCCCCCCCCCCCCCCCCCCCCCCCCCCCCCTTCCACCCCCAAACTTTATGATAAGCTCAATAATATTTGTTCTTATCATACATATTCTCATCTCATCCTATTCTATTATCGGTATAATATATTCATCTTACTGAAATGATTATGGTTATGAGCTACTAAATGATGCCTACGAATTATCATAACATAAATGTTGTTAAATGAAAAACCGAATTAAAATTGTGTAACAGTATAAAAATGTCGCAACCTAATAAGTAAAGAAAGAAGAGGATTTTCAAACAAACTACTACACTCTGTCTTTTCAAAAGATGTGAGCATGTACAGTGGGTGATTCTTAATCTTTTTTTTTTATCCATTGACTTCTGATTTGTTATGTTCCCTATATGTTTGATAAAGAAACCATTCGATGGGTTACATGAATGGATGATTTTGTGCACAATACTGTTTTCTTCTCTGTGAGTTGCCTATGGTGGAGTGTATACCAAACTGACCTTGTTCACTATTTCAAGGCTTGCACCGTGTTCTACAAGCGCAACAGCTTCCTCAGTTCTCTCCTCCTCACAGGCTAGATGTCTGAGAGGAAGAAGATACATAGATTAAAGTGATAAAACACTAAAATAAAGACAATGAATATGTGGTTAAATGTGTTGGAATGTAGCTGTTCTAACAGCTATCCAAAGAATACAATTTTTAATAAAGTATATTCTAAAGATTCATTAGCATTATATTTAAAAAAAGGTTAAATATGTTCACCAAAAATATTGGTAAATAGTCATCCTATTTTTATGTTGAATTGTGGGTTTAGATATATTGGTTCCTAAAAGATAAGAAATAGAGAGAATTCATAGCATAGCAAACCCCTCATTTTTTCATTTCTGATAACAATAATAATAAGGTCATAAACGAAAACATGTATCTGTCCCATGTTTTTTATGCGAATATTCCTCCCACCTCCCTTATCCAAGCCTGTAATCAACAAAATTTCTATACAGATAGGTCATGACAATTATTTTTTATTATTAAAGTTTAAGATTATCACTTACAATGGAGTATTTCCTTGTTTATCTGTTGCATCCACTCTGCAGTTGAACTGGAGGAGGAGTTTGACGATCTCTATGTTTCCTCGGGAGGCGGCACGGTGGAGGGGTGTGGCTCCGTTCTCATCACTGATGATTGGATCGGCTCCATGGTCCAAAAGAATCTCCGTCACCTGGAAGAGAGAGCATGAATATGATGTGATTTGCCTTCTCAGAACCAGCTGCTCAAGTTCCCCCTCTCCTTCTCTCACTCCCTCTCCATCTCTTCCTCACTTTTCTCCCTTTTTTCTCTCCTCTATCTTTCTCTTTTTTTCCCCCTCTCTCTCTCTCTCTGTCATTGGATTTGGGTTTTCATTCAAGAATTTCATTGATCGGTGTCTCGGTTATAAATCTCCACTCTCCTGCATAATCTTCATTTGCCTCTCTCCATCCAGGTATTGCATGGGTAGCGGTTGTAAGGGATCCCTTCAATGCTATGAGCACGGAAAAAACGGAAGCCTAGCAGAACAGGAGTAACATTGGAGCGACTTGAACTTGTTGCGTGGTGGAAATGTGCTCTACAACATTTTCTTTATGAGAGTATGGAGAGGATTCTATAACAAAAAGCTGAAACCATCATTGAGATGAAAAATGGTCAAGAAAAAAATGCTCAAACATTTCACAGAAACAAATATTAAAATGCAAAAGAACAATATGAACAGAATACAGCTAACATAAGGACTAGTTGGAGCACACTAGTGTACATCACCCTCAACACCCCCCCCCCCCCTACACATACACAACATCACCGACTGGCAGAAATAATGAGAACAGAGAGATAGCAAAGAAGGGAAAATGGAAAACAAAAGAAAATGATAGGAACATACCTTCCCTGAGTATGTGGCCTTGTATATATTTGCATTAACCCCCCCCCCCCCTGATGTTAATGTAAATGTAATATGTCAAGGGGTCAAATTCTAAATCCTAAATCTGATGGGATAGTACGGCTCATTACTCCTGTAGGCGTAAATGCAAGGCAGACTGGGTGTGTACTTGGAGTAATAAAACAATACTATTGATGATGCTATATTGAATACAAACTTGGGATACCGTAAGAATTTGAATGTTTGTGGAGAGGTTGAGAACTTGAAATACAATTTCACCTGTTTGGAGCTAGAATGAGGTTACTTCTGTGTTAAAGAATATGATAACTCTTCTGGTTCCTACAATAATTATCGGATACTAACCTCGACCCTACTTCTTGATGAGGAGTAATGGAGAGGTGTCTGTCCCGTATGATTGGTTGCATTGACTTCAGCATTCTGACCAATCAGAGCCGAGACAATACCTGCATGACCAACGGATGCTGCAATGTGCAAAGGACTCCAACCTGACTGCAAAAAAAAAAAAAAATGTTTCGAAATATCTTCAGAAATTTTTTATGAAAATGTTATGCATTCACAAGTAAAGGAACATCAACTCACAATAAACATTATGCCTGAATGTTAACTTTGGAACGGATCTAATCCGTATTCAAATGTCTATAAGAAATAAGCAGAATTAAATGTAAACAGTTGGCAAGATTTAGGATTCTCATATTTTTGTATAATATATTTTAGAGTGGTCAAGTTTTGTTTTCATCATAAATAAATTGACAGAAGAAAAGAAAGAAAAATCTAAATAATTTTTAGACATATTACAGATACAGAAGGGACAGCTAAGTAAGAAGTACGAGGGAGAAAGGACAGCATGAAGAAGATATATGAAGATGTCAAATTGTAAATATAAAATTGTGTTAAAGGAGCTATTTTTTGTTGTTGCTTACTGCCAAGTGAATTACCTGGCAGAGGTCCTATTTTATTAAAAGTTTCACCAAAGCGCATCTCAAGCTTTCCAGAGCATAAACACTCTCTACTTGTGCCTTTTTTAATGTCCCTTCTCATCTTCTTTTTCATCAATACATTCTTCTCCTTCCTCTTGTCCTTCTTGTTCTTGTTCACCTTCTTCCTATCTTGTTTCTTCTGTTTTTTCTTCATTTTTCTTTTTTTTCTCAGCTCAGGAAAAGAAACAATGAGAATAGGGGAATAATATATCTTTTTCAATAGAACATTTAGATAGAGAAAAGAGAGAGTGGGACAGGGATAGACAGCGAAGGAAGGCAGAGATGGCTCAGACTGGGACAGGGAAATAGACAATGATGTGTGGAAAGAGAGAGAAGAGAGGTAAGGGGAAAGAGAGGATAAATTGGAATGATATAATGCAAACAATCCCTTCAAGGTTCTGTTTAACGAGGCAAAACAGAGTCAAACACTTACATCATCTGATACATTGACTGGAACTCCATTTTCCAACAAATACTGGACAACCTCAAACTTTGCTCCAGATGCCGCCCAGTGAAGGGGCATACGATCACTCTGTAAAATAATGATTAAAGTTACGAATAAGACAAGTTATTCTAACAAAAAATGTTCTATGCAATAAATGGGTACATAGCTATGCCTCAAGGTTGATCTTAATTATTAAAATTACAAAACAACTACGTAATATGCGCTAATGTTAACTTTGATCGTAAAGTGATACCGTAATTACGCCGCAAGCAAGTTAAACAGCAAAATGTGTTGATTATTTTGTTTCCCTTTCAAACGATGACAAAATACTGCACTGATTGCTGGATAACAGAAAATTAAGTACACATATATCATGTTTTCTACTCTGAGCTTTGTGCTTTAAGAGCAGAGAGTACTACTCACAATTAAAAAAAGAATCTGGCTGGTATACATGACAAACTTGGTGTTTCTTTTAATTTGTTTAAAATTGAATGATTTGACAAGATCTTTCCCAGTGGCAGTGACCAGCCACGTCCAATTAGATCTAGTCATGTCAGTCATAATTTAAAAGTCATATAATACATGTTGCTCGATTTATGATTATATAAATGGTTTATTTTATAAGTATAACTCAATCATTTCAAATTCCAAATCATTTAACCTGCCTCCAATCGAGATATCTGCATCGTCATTCCCAAATAGCGATTTGCGCACAAGTCATGTAAATCATTACCGCGTACCGTACCGGTACCGTAGCCTACACAAAGTTGAACGAGTTGGGCTACAATATCTCTACCTGCTTACCTGGTCTAACTTTAAGAGCAGAGATTTATCCTCTGTTGCTCTCACCCTTAGTGCACCAAGGTCACCTTCGTATGCCAACTTCCAAATGTCAACTGTATCCATCTTAAAGTATCATAAAATACCTAATTTCAACAAGATAAACGTGACAAAGCAGTTTTGAAAATAGCAGCCGCTCTCTAATGTTCCTTCAATCACTTATGAAGTGCCAATGAAGAGAGCGCGAGAAATGCCAGTGCCCTACAATTCAATGGGCATCGTGCATGACTAAACCATTATTGACGCTAAATCAACCGAGTGATCAACTATAGGATTCATATAAAAATAACCAAGATACAGATTGACAAAGGTTGAACATCCACCATCCACCCACCCCCCCCCCCAAACAAAAAATGCTGGTTGAATATCATGCATGTAACATGTTAATTTGTGTCACTTTTGGTTATATTGTTATCTTTATTCTTACACTCAATTATCTATGTTACACTATAACCTTGAAATTTGTTATCCAATGTACACAAATTAAAAATGATCCTATCTGTTTGGATTGAAATCAGTGAAGTTTGAATTTGAATTTGAATTTGTAAAAATAAATTACCAACTCAGCGAGAGTGGAAAATCGGGTTTGACTCACCGAGGAGGAAAAAAATAAGTTGCTCCCGGTATCCAAAACACAAGAATTTGAAGAAAGAAGTGATTTTCAACTTCATACAGGAAAGTTTTTTTTCAGAGGTAAAACCTTGTGAAACAACCTGTGCAAATTATTTTTTTTAGAAAATCAATTATGATCTGACCTCCACATACCCCGAAGGCGGCCCTCCAGGTCCCCCCCGGGGGGGGGGGGGGCGGTGCACAGCGCGCCCCCGGTGCTCCTCCCTACTTTTTCAAGTACCCCAAAAGAGCTCCTTTTTACATAAGAGAACGCGGGCCCCACCTTTGTAAGAAGTGCTCGTTTTCCATTGGTAAAGTGTCCCTTTTACTTTTAAGTGCCCCCATTATTTTTTAAAAGTGCAATAAGTGTCCATTTACCATTTTCATAAGTGCTCTCTAGTAATAAGTCCCCCTTTTCAGGTAGCCTACGGGAAGTGCCCCTCTGTACTTTTGATATTAAGTGCCCCCTTTAGAACTTAGACAAGCGCACCTTAATATTTCCACATGTGCCCCTTTTCCGAATGATAAGTTCCTCCGTTGGTCTTGGAATCAAAAGATCCTCTACCCCTTTTCACAAATATCCCTTTTCATCTGTGGCCGAATTAATGCCCTTTTTCAGGTATGAGAAGTTACTCCTTTTAACTTCAGATAAGATCTCCTTCACCTCCAATAATTGCCCCTATTTAAATCTGAGAGACATTCGCTTTACTTTGGCCTTCATCGCCCCTTCCTTTGTGATAAGTGCTCATCGCTAATAACTACCCCTTTCCCTTTCTAATGAATGCTCTTTTTCCTTCCTATATAAGTGTCCCTTCCATTTTCATCTCTAATAAGTGCAACGTTTATTTTAATCATATTATGTGCCTCTTTTTCTGTTTTTCTGTAATAAGAGACCACTTCTTCCTTTTCATGAAGCCTGCTTTCACCTCCGATAAATGCTCCTGTTCAAATCTGATCGGCGCCCCTTTTTCTCAACTCAGTACACATTTTTCTTTATTAAAAGTGTCTCCTTCTTCATTCTTATATACGGTGCCCCTTTTCCTATCTGATCAGTGATCCTTGTGCGTTAAGTGCCCCTTTTTATCTCTGATAATTTCCCTTTTAACAATCATAAGTGCTCCTTTTCCGTTCTATTAAGGTACCTAAATAAATGCCCTTATCAATCTGCTTATTACCCATTATCATAAGTGTCTCCTTTTTCACACATCATTAAACGCGCCCCTAATTTTAATCGACTAAAAGCAATTTCCCTCAAATTAGCTCTCTTGCTCGCATTTAGATGATCAATCAACGTTCTTTTCAGTCTTCCCTTATGAGAATGTGCAAATAAACCAATCGGAAGTTTGGGACACAAGAGGACACTTTTTATTTTTTATTTTTTTTTGGTCTCGAAATTTGAAAATTTGACATTTTGCTCCGTTTGGGGGGGGGGGTAAGGTCAACTTTTCCAGGTCAGCCATTGTTATAACTTTTTTTTTTTTTTTAATTAAAAAAAAAAAAAAAAAAAAAAAAAAAAAAAGTACCAAAGGGGGGGGGGGGGGGGGGGGGGTTTCCTCCAAAATACACACATAAAAAATACCAAAGGGGGGGGGGTTTCAACCCCCAACCCCCCCCCCCCCCCTGCCTACGCGCCTGTGTACATGTATTTTATAATTCCTAAGTCATGTTTGAGCAATCCCTAATGTAGCACAGGCATATTAAACATAATTTGAATCTAATTCCGTAGGTCCGATATGCAAGGATTGAGGGATTGTATTTTTGCAAAAGGCATTCAAGATCTCCAAGTCGCGTTCCATAGCATCTTGTTGGCTTTGCATTGACGACGTACGTACGTCGGCGTTCGCACTTTAGAAGTTATAGAAACGCACGTGTAACGTTGATTTTAAGGCCTCAGTGAAGCACAACGCCGAGAGGACCGAGTTTTACCCATATTTTCACCTGTAACAATACAATAATCTCCCTAACATGGTATGTGTCATATTCTTTTAACATTTATGAATATATTCAGGCGTCATTTTTTAAGAATTGAAATAATCTGTGATGATTTACAATGAAGCGTGTTTGTTGATGAGTGTATCGAATGCCAAATTGTACACTATAATGAATGTGTGGGACCAACACGTGGTGTGGTCGGTTAGTGTGCACGTGTGCTAGCATGTGGGAATTGTACTTGTTGTACTAGTAATCATGTACTAGACTAGATCTACTTAGTACTGTAGGCTGTTATACGGTAGTTTTGGGAAGAGCTTTGTGAGTTCATCTTTGCCTTCCTAATTTGCCTGGGCTAGGTTTTTTTACTTTTGCCGTTTCATTATTTTTGGCAGTTTTAAAGTTTGAACTTTGAGTTTGAGTTAGGCAGGCGCAGGGACAGGGTCACTCATATCACGAAAGTCAAAACCGTTATAAATAACATTAAATAAGCAGTAGGGGCACTGGTCCGAGAATGAGGATCGTCCACATAAACATGGAATGATGGATAAATCACGTCCGCAAAAATAAGCATCGTCCGTATCTTTGTAGACAATTTTTTTTCTTCCGCCGTTCCGGGCTCTGCGGGTTTCAGGTTCTTGATCCGTGCTCTTGCAAGTTGCAATGCAAAAAACTGATTCCACGTATTACTCCCAGTTTACCGTCTATTTTTAAGGGTTGCCCTGTCCAAGAATATATCGCTCATATTCATAAGTAACGTGAAAGTCTCTGTACAATGTGAAATGCATCAAGAAAATCAAAGCAGAATCCGTTTTTCGCATTGCCAACGCGCGGATCGGAAATAAGAATCGTCTGCGAAATTGGACCAATTTAAGCGATGAAAAGAGCCATAACTAAAGCTTTTTCGACTTGCACTCATCAGAGTAAATGCAGGAATGAAACAGAAAGCCAAAACCAATCGATATAGGCCTAAACGGAAACTAAAGGAACAAGGCGCGAATATAACGAGCGCTGATTGGCTGTCTAAAGTAACAGTAGGGTGTCTGAACGATTTTTCAATTTTCAATTTGGGATCGTTTTTCACCATTTTTGTTTGATATTTGAATTAAAAATGTTATCAGAATAATACATTTCAAATTTCAAGTCTCACCGATGTTTCTATCAAAAGTTACAGCCCCTCCAACACGCTGGTATATTCATATCATTTTGGTCAAAATCGACGAAAAAGACGTCCACGCAGAGTGATGTTGTTTTGCTAAATTTAGCCAAACAGCTGTATCGCGCGATATGCAAGCGTATGCATATCGTACGCATGCTGCTAAGCCAATCCGCGACTTGCAGCTTGAGCTACGCTGTCTCCGCGACATGTGCGATTGACTAGTATGGTTGGCGTTCGTCGCACAATAAACCCGGAAGTGAATGCACGTTATAGTCAATGGCAATATCGCGGAGACAACGCACGTTGTCTCCGCGATATTGCCATTGACTATAACGTGTATTCACTTCCGGGTTTATCGAGGGATTTGCCAACCATAATTTCAGTCACTATAATGTGTAATTGAATTTGGGGTTTCGTTCGTGCGCGGAGATGTTACGCGATGTAACCATGGTTTGGACTGAGCGGAGCGCACGCCTCCTAATTAGCTGATCCACCAAATAGCGAGAAGGGTATTTTTAAACTGTTATCAGTTGTGATCCCTGGGGGCTAGCGAAAATATAATCACATAGAATTGTTCCTTAGGACTGGGACTACTTATCGATCGGGGCGTCATATCTCAAAAGTGACAAACCTCAGAGTTAGCCAGGACACAATGTTTAAATTGCTGTTTTGACCAAGATATTTTTAGAATTTCGGGGGCTACGCCCCTTTGGAAATATTGGAATTCACCTGCTCTTTCATATGACACCTCATTCATTGATTATCACCTTCAGGATCACAACTGATAAAGGTTTGAATCTCGATTTGAAAAAAAAAATTGACTTTTTTTGCATGGTCGCGCAATGCACGTAGGCTGCATAGGGATGCGTGTAATCTCTATGGGAAGAATTTTAGCACACAACATCGGGTGCGCGATCAGACACCCTAGTAACAGTAAATTAGGCTTATGCCAGCCGGTTATACCAGGATAATCGCTAGAATAATACGAGCGTCTGAAAAAACTCTTTAGTTATGGCGCTTTTCTACGCTATTCTCCGATTTTGTAGTACCAATCATCTTTTCAATTTTAATGTATTTCTTTTCCTCTTGGGCACTCACAGGCCGATGAAGTAAACTCCAAAGCCTACCCTCTGGCTGATGGTGACCTGACAAAGAAACTCCTTAATCTGGTTCAGCAAGCCGTCAATTATAAGCAGCTCAAGAAGGGAGCCAATGAAGGTAAGTTCTACTTACATGTACATGTATGAGAAAACAGGTTTTGGGCTTGGTCACATGAACCCTCCACCTCCCCCCCCCCCCCCTCCCACAACAAATGAAATAATATCCCTTGAAAATAGGGTTGAGTCATCTCGGGATTTTCATAAACCGGGTCCCGACGGCCTTGCACCGATCGGGACCCGGTGTCCTGAAATCAGCTCGCAGGATTTGTCACTTGCCTCTATAAAAAGCGCATATCATGATTATTATCATCAGTATGTCCCTTAAAAGTGAACTTT